ATAGCGGTTCTTAATACGGTCGCATATAGGATTACTATAACATATTGAAAAATCACGGGCAAACTATCGCGCGGAAACTACGTATAATCGGACTTCTATATATATATCGCGCAAGGTACAAAAATATCCAAAGCACAGCGAGCATCGCGCAAATCATTGCTGTGCAACATGTTACGCAAATTATCTCTTTCATTATCTCTTTCTCTCTTCCTTCTTCCCTCCTTCCCTCTCTCTCTCTCTCTCTTTATATATATATATATATATGTATTATATATCTATATATGCATATATAATCAAGATACAAGAAATCATTTTCATCTTTCTATCCTTTTTTTCCTCCCATGAAAAATGCGCCATCGATCATTTGACTTCGTAGTGACCTAATGTTTAACCCTGAACAGTAAAAAAGAAACCTTTCTAAATCTGAAACCTTAAGAAAAAGATTAGCACCGATTAACAAATGATTCTTGAAAAAGTTTTTGCGGGTCTTCAATCGTCCAATAACTGAATCTGGATATTCTCTCTTTATTTTCCTCTCTATCTCTGAAATTTCATATAACATAATTGAAAATATTTCACTATTTAAGGTTAAACATTTCACTCGAGCATTATTGCGATTATTTTTGCCTATTCCACGACCACATGCAGGTCGTAAAAACTGTTTTGCTTCGCTCATGAGATCAGGAAATTCTTTAGTGAGATGGTTCATACAGAAAAAAGATTACTTCGCAAACAGGAGCGAGACGAGAGAGCCTGTGTCCTCCCATATACTATAAATTGTGTTGTAATTTGCAACATCAACGCGCGTAACGCAAATTGTTTCGCAGATCGATCCTCGAAGTGAACGTTTGCGTTGTCAACAAACAATCGCTACAAACGATAAACCACACAGATACAACCAATCAAATATATGTTCGCTACCGTAACTTATCATGGGTAAGCGAATGATTATTATCATTATCATTTGGACTTGTTTTGACGATACGTTCCTCGCACAGGATCACTAAAGATTACGCCTCAAAAAGTATCATTAGATATTAGTCTAGCTTACGCACACACATACACATTTCATAACGTTGTCCTTTTTTTCTTCAAAAAAGAATTTACACTGATTTTTACGCCATTAATTTATCAAAGTAATTCTATATAAAAAAAGAGGTACATTCTTTATACCACATTTAAAATTGTGCTTATCCCGATGTGATATATTATTTCAGAAAGTACATAAATTCTTCCAGTCATATATACATATTTCACCATTGACAATAGTATAAACAACCTCTCTGACAGGTTTAATAAGTTTTTAAAAGTTTCATCGAGTTTTTGATGTTATATGTATATATTGTATATATAACAATTGTAAAATTGAATATATGAATCAAATAACAAAGTTGGCGGTGTTTTTAATAACTCTCACATCTAATTTCTTTATTTCGCACAATACTTGAAATTCGTTTTATTATATATAATATATATATGTACGGTATATTTGCGGCAATACAATATAAATTATATAGTATTCGTATATACGTACACATTATTCACATCGGTTTCCGTGTAAAAAAAACTGTTTTAAATGATTAATCTTCTCTATAAAATGTATGCGCATTCGTGCGACTCACCCACACGTATTCGTAGGGAACTAATAATAACAATTAAACGAGGCCGCGAGTATTGCTTTCCGTCGCTTTACAACGCGACAATTTCGACTTGCGACATCGTTGTAGCATTTGTAGCGTTTGTTATTAACAAATAATTACCGATTACAGTGGTTTACACGTTATAATATATACAGTGTCGATGAAATATTTCCCGAAAAAAGTATCACCGCATTTACGTCGATTATTTATTTATTATTACGTGGATGATAATAATGAGAGAACGAGTTTTTCTTCCTGTCTTTTTTATCTTAACCGCGAAATAATCTCCGTCATCTTTCTACTAATAGATAGCGTGTCTCTCCTTTCGGGTGATCTTTTTTTTCGGTCACACTGTATTACAATAAAGTGCCGGCTGGCTTGAAACGGGTAACACTTCTACGTCATAAAGTCACCAAAGTCAGCAATCAGTCTTGTACCTTCGTGCAAATGCAATAACCCAAATTTATACCGTGCGTCTATTTAACTCTAAGCATGTGGGGCTCTGTGTCTCACTGTTGTTCGAATTCTTTTAGTCTTCCTTCCTTTTTTTATCCTCGCCAAAAATAAGGGGATGTAAATGTATGTACGATTCGGAGGATGGTGGGAAAAAGTTTGGACGGGATTGTGTGCGTCTCTCCCCCTTAAACCTTTAACCGGTTCAATTTCATCATTTAGGTCATTGAGAGGCAAGTTTCGAACTCGTCGTAGATTCATCACTTCTTATTTTTAAATGTTGATATCTTATATTTGAACTTCTTGCTACTAAAAGTCTGCTATCATAATCAGTTTATTAACTTCGAATTTGACTTATTGATAATGAATGAGACTTGATAACACAAGACGAATTAAACTTGTCATTATATGTATAATATATGGTTGTAGTTTTAAAATACTAATTATTTTTATATAATATTTTTTTCTTAAATTCTGTAATAATTAAAAAATTACATAATTTTTTTTATTAAATATTAATGCATATATAATATCAAAGTTATATTATATTATTATAATTTATATTTTATAATTTATATTTATAATTTATATTTATAATTTATATTTTTATTTAATTTTATATTTTTTTCAATAAAAAAAAAATAAATTTTAATTATTATTTTAAAACTAAAATAATAATTTTGCAAATTATTTAATTTACAAGATTTTCGAGATCATAAAAGATGTGCATAAACAATTCTCCGTGATCCTATTCTTAGAATCTGAACAAAATTCTTAATTTACACATTCTAATATTATGAGATTATGTAGTGTTCAGATCCTTAATTATAAAAAAGATATTAAATATGCATGAAGCTTTTGAAGAATTACAAAAGTTAAAAATGTTGTATCGAATTATGCCAAAAAATTCAAGTTTGTCGATAAAAATTATAATTTATTTTAATGCATATAAAATAACATATATATATGTATATATAATACAAATAATTTTTCACACACACACACACACACACATTCTCTCCCCCCACCTATATTGCGAGTTTCCTGCAAACAGTGAATTTTATTGCAAGAGCATGTACGCTTCATTGAATTTCGTTGAAAGAGAGACGGCTCCATTTTATCAAGTTTTATCGAAAAACGAATTCAATCTAATTCTATCGAATCTGATCGCGCGAGATCAATTTTAATTTAATTCGAAAAAAAGAGCAAAAATTCGATTCAACCTTTCAACAAAGCCTCGCCGTACTTTGTAAATAAACCACGAAGAGATTTTTGACTCCGGTTTTCGTGCACACAAACGCGTTATTCTCGATCCCGAAGGAAGCCTCACGAAATGAATGTCCTTAATCTAAATCCTAACGATAATCACTTACACACACTCTCTCTCTCTCTCCTCTCTTATATAATTATTTTATAATTCTTAATATCACAATATACCGCTACTAAGGTCTTTAATTACGTTTAAAAAACAAAGAGCAAAGACCAATAAGCGAACTAAAAAAATGAACGAAAAGGAGTAAAGAAATATAAAATGTAGACACACAAAAGAAACGTGAATAGCGCGATTAATTACAACGTATGTATGTAGTAATACGTACGGTAGTCAACGAATAATAATAATAATAATAATAATATATATGACAAACTGAAATGACCAATCCGCTTCGCTTCCTTTTTTAACGCGTGAAACGCATCGGGGAATACGAGCTCAGCTCATCGTTATTTCTCTATTTGAAAATCTGTTTGAAAACCACGTAAAGTAGTTAAGCGATACAGTTTCGAAATGGATCGATTCTTTGAAATTATTAAAATATATGACTCAATCATATCTATAATAGCCTAATAAATATAATATGTGTGTGTTTACACGTTTGTCATTATTTTGCATTATGATTTTATACAATTATATTTTTACATCATTGTTTTACACATAGGATCGATTCTTCTTTATTCTTTAACTCTCGATTTTAAATTCGTTACTTCTCTGAAGTCTTCGAAATTGCACCGCTTTTTTATTATACTTCATTGAGAAATCCTCGATATGATAAGGAATCTTTCAACGAATGAAAAATCTGATGAAATCCACGTATCAAGCTTCTCGCGAAATTTCTCCCATCGAGAAATAAATATTCATTAAACAATTCAACATACAAATTTTACGCCGTCGCGCGATACCAGTTCGACTATTTCAACAGATTATTATTGAGACGAATCACCCATCCGGCGTATGATTATTAACATATCAATCTGATATTTAGCGGGATGATAACCAGCATCGAGAGAATGTTATTATTTTAATTTAATGAGATTTTTCACACAGCGATTCGTTACGAAAGGAGAAAATGACGAGGGGGAAAGATCAGTCGATGGAATGATGAAATGAACCGAACATCTGTACTATCATCTGTACTAATCGATGTACAGGACGTCCCAGAAAAGTGCACCTAAACGCACTATCCAAATATCTGCTAGTTTTCGAAGAAGATAGATCCTTTCTCGATAGTTTCAAAAATATAAAAATTAATTGTAAATTATTATTTCAATTCTAAACTAACGTTTCCTAATTTGAAAATTGTTTCGATTATTTAGAATAAGATTGAATTATTTTAAATATTACTGTTAAATTAATCACAAACGAACAGTCTTATTAGTATATCCACTCTTCTGGGCTATCCTGCAAGATCTCCGAAAAGGAGATTCTTACATTGGAAAATACACCGCCATATTATTCCAACGTGATCATTTCGCATTTTGCAATGAAAAAAAAAGGACAATATGCGCTCACTTGTCAAGCGAGCTTCGAAACATTATCGCATCTGACATGACTATAACTACCTGACTGCTATCAATCAGCGCTCTCTTTCGCTCTCTCTCTCTCTTTCGCTTTCTCTCTTTCTCTCTCTCTCTTTCTTTCTCTCTCTCTCTCTCTCTCTCTCTCTCTCTCTCTCTCTCTCTCTCTAAAACTAATTATATTCGCTACATATCACGTGAAATTTGTTACAAGTCTTATAATCACATGTCTCTCCTTCGAGAACGAAAACGCGAGAACCTCTTCTCGCGACAAGATCTGCTGCTGCTGCTACTATATAGAATTTATCTCGCACTATCACAATTATCATACGCATAGGCCTCTCTTCTCCTTGGATATAATATTGCAAGGTGACAGCGGACAAAACAAAGAGCGATATCGTCGTTAAACCTTTTAACCGGTTCGCTGCTTAACAATGAAAATCGTTCTTGCAGTTTTTAGAATTCCTGTATAACTCAAAAAATATATTAAACTCTTTCAAAAACTAGATTCTGAAATCACTAGTTGTTTAAATTCTGGTTTCTTTAACTTCTAGTTGTCAAGATTTTTGAATTATTAAATCATATTAGACACGAGGTCTAATTTTTCGAAAGACAGTCGCGTTCTTTGCAACTAAAATTAAAGCATAAAGCGAAACGATTCTCCACCCAAATTAGAGAGAGAGAGAGTAAGCTTCTCTCTAAAGTTACTTTGGATGGAAAATCAAAACATATTTTTTCCAGTTAAAGGGTTGAACGCAAAACACCTCGCGATCACGTGTCATTACAATGCCAAAAGTCTAACCTCTGCTCTGCATTGTTGCGTCCGTCATCCTTAGAATCTCTTCTTTCCCTGGTTTTGCGATATTGTACAAATTCAGTTGACATTCGCCCGTAGGGCGAATTGGCAAACTGACAAAAATGGCTGCATCCGTTTAACGCACATGCAAAAAAACGGATGAAAAACGTGCAAAACGTTTGTGATCTCGAAGCTCTTCAATGAGATTGTTGGTAGGATCTGTAGAGTTTTTTCTTCTCCAGAGTGAATTCCCTACTGATCATGATGGTACCTCCACGCGTGAGATTTCTGAAAAAAAGAATAACAAATCGCGGATATTAAGAGTTTGATCGCGAGTAATTGCGTCATTTATAGATTTTATTTTGCAATGATAATGAAGCGTGATAATAATAAGCATATTTTATATTGTACAATATTGTAGTTATTTTTTTATTTAGACGATAGTTAATATGGAACAGAATAGAAAGAAAACTTTGCGTAATTTAAATTCTAGGTGCAAAATTTTACTAAATAAAGTTTACTCACTTTAAGAATTGAGGTAGCAGCATGTGCCAGGACGTGTGATCCTGCTTCAATGTGAGATAGAGCTCGAACGTCGACACAGCATTCGGATCGCACTGTATTTTCGACAGTTTGCGACACATGCTGTCCGTCTCGAAGCTAATGAATAGCGTGCAGCCTCTGTAACAAATTACATTACACACATATTAATTTCTTAATCACACGCATACGTGGACACAATTTATCACGTGGTGATGTATACTGTATACTAACAATAGCGTGCGGTATCAAATTTTAATCAATTTTCTACTTTGTTGATAGTTGAAAATTACGACCAAAAAAAGATTGCATTCCAGACATCTCATGATCTCATGTATAATATACAATCATCAACATCACCTTTAACATTATTCGCGTGAAAGATAAGTTGGAGAAAACACGTTACACTTTCTAAATGGACACTTGTTGCGCGAAAATAATGTTTATTCGAACTCCCGAATTGTTGTAATTTTTTCGAACATGTATAGAAATATTTTTGGCTTACCTAAGGCCACAGGGCTCGTTCTCTGCCATAGTAAGTACATCTTTGGCTACCTTAGGCAGCAAATTGGCCGGTAGGAGGACCTCGCCGCAGGCCAACTGGGCGTGTTTAGCTCTTCTAAGCTCGACTTCCAGCCTCTTTGCCAGCGCCTGGCAAGCACCGTCCAATTCGTCCGTCGCGCTTCCAGCTATAACAATTAATTCAATAGGAGATTGAGCACGCATGTTTACAGAATCGGTTGAAAGGATGTAAATACTTCATTTTTTCTTTTTGTATTCAGCCTTAAAATAATATAATAATATTTAATATTCAGTTAAATATTTTAGCGCAATTATATTTGCCGAAAAATAAAACTGATTAAAGTAGAATCTAAAATAAAATGTGAAATCAAATTAATTCAGATTAATTTTTTCTAATTAAAGATTATTAAATTAGCTGTATGTGAAATAATATATAATTGTTTTTTTCCTTAATTTTTATCAAGTATATCGAAGCGTTACGACAGCCTGAAATTATATATCGGCAAATCTAAAATACTTTGTGTATGTGTACAATATCTTCCAAAGTAAAAAAGTGTAAAACTGACGTAATCTTGAGGTAATATTATTTGATCGATATCTTTGAATCGTGAAAGCAATCGAAAACCCGTACGGAGCTAAATGAAAAACATATTTTGCTTCTTGATGATTCATGTATCGAATCTTTAATTTAATTTTGACCACGTCTTATAACATTGATTTTCATATTCGATTTAAAAGTTTCGACTATTCCTGTATTTTTAACTTGAAATTAAGCGTTAATTCTTTTTCACAATCTCAGCTGTGATCTCTCGATGAATCGAGCACGCGTGTGCTGAGATCATCATTTTATTATTTCAAAACGAACGTCTGTATTAAGATTAAGCGTGTGTAATATAACAAAGAGCTGTCGTCAGAAAAGAGCTGACGTAACACCGGTTCTCTCACCTCACTATTCACTATGGAGACTCAATATCAATTATTCTAATAAAAATGCGGGATAAGTCATTGAAAAAGATATATTATCAATTTAATAACATCATTTTAGTTTCTTTTACGAGTCTACACGACCAATAATAATTCCGAGCTCGCTTCGTTCATTGTTTCTAGCAACCGGCTAACATAAGACGAGGCGAGGTCGTAGGTAACGTATGAACTCGTTTGACCTCGATTCTATTATCTTTCTTGCAAAGCGAATATAATAAAATAATTAAATTTTTTAGCTCTAACATTTCTACAAATATTTCCATCATCGTCGTTGTAAAGAAACATTTTTCGAACCTGGTATAAAGTTACAAGGCACGATTAGTTTATTTTACAAAGAGGTGCTAATTTTGTCACATTTCCTGTCACACTAAACGCTACAAGGACAGTTTTCATTAATTTGTAATCACTTTTTCGGATGATTGAAAATAAGGATTAAATATCTAGAAAATTTCGATTTATATAAATATGACGAGAATAATCTGTAAAAGCAATAAGAACAATCGAAGAACATTGAAAGGAAAAACAATAGCGAAGGGTATCCCTCTCTCTTTTTTCCTTCGCACCATCGGAAGATTGACGCAATTATTCGGATTTTCGCCGAATAAAGCACATCAAATCTGCGATCTTTCGTTTGCGTTTGAAAAAGTTGAAATAAATTGATCGAGCTGTCGACGAACGAAACGAATCGTGCTGCGAGCAAAAATCAGCTGATTCCAGCCGGCGTTGTCAGCTGAGAACAACGGCTCGAACGATCGAAGAGAGGCCGAGGCTCGAAAGGGACGAGAAACCGAAACGATTGGAAAGAAAGAACCGGTACTATGACACCGGGATCAAAGCGAGACTTACCTCTGGTGTTGCTGAAGTCCACGTTGACAGGACACGGCAGGACCTCCATGATTTCGCGAGAACGTCCAGCGGTGGACGAAACACGACGGTACGGATGTCCTCGTCGTCTATCCCTTCGCGAGACAGAACGATTTTTTTGCTTGACAATCGAAACGAACGAGATGTAGGAAACTGTCAAAAAAACCGCGATAAGAAGCGAGCGGCAGAATAGTATCAGCGACGTTCTCGGAGGAAGAAAAAAGCTAAAACTTTCACCGCAGTTTTTCGAAACCGCGAAACCGTAAACCGGTCCGAACGGTCGTAACGTCAGCTACTCGACTGATCAGCCGCCGGCCGCTGACGCGACTTATATACGAGGGGGCTCCCACCCTCTCCATCCCTTTCCCCACACCGCTCCTCGCCACCGATCGACCGCCTAGCAACACCGCCTACGTGACGTTCAGTGTGTCCGCTGATTCGGCTGTTTCCGCCGGTGCTCGCGCCGGCCTTCGGCATCGTTCGGGACTCGGCGTGCGAGTGAGATCGCACGAGAAGCGGTCCTCCTTTAATCTTCAAGGGGACCGATCCGCTGTTGCCGACGGTGACGGCACCAGCGCACCGGGTTTTCTTTTTCACCCACGATGCTCGTTTTGTTTCTCCCTCTCTCTCTCTCTCTCTCTCTATTTTTCTCTCCTCGCATCTCTCGGTGACTACGTGCATTACGTCGCGCAAGCCTTTTATCGAGGCTTTAACGCGAGATGCGCGTATTAAAATCACAGGTGAGCTTTCCTGTCAGAAGCGGGCTTTCTCAAAGCATCGACGATTTAGGCAAACCGAGATTTCGGTATGAAGAAGGGAACGCACACATGTGCATTTCCTGGTCTTATATGTCGGGAGAGAAAAAAAACTTATTTTAGAAATTCACAGGACGAATAAAATGATGTTTTGCTCGCGGCACGAAGATCAGCTGATCGAGTCTATAACAAAGTTTATGGTAAAAAAAATGGTGATACATGGATGTTGGAATAAAAATAGTATCTTTTAAAAGAGGAACATTACATCTTTTTACAAGACTTTTAATGAGAAGCTTATGTATATTCAGGGACGCGGATAAACTAATGAGTATAATAAATCAAAGATAAAATAAGAACTCCTGTGCAAGAGAATCGATTATAAGAATCGAGCGTATATTGCGTAAGATTTCAATTGTGTTAGGAAGCGGTTGTGTGTGTGTGTGTGTATTCACGGTGACACGCGATCAAACTTGAATTTTTATTCGGTCGAAAAGTGTTTTAGATATCATCGCGATTTGACGCAATATATACATATACGTATATTCATCTCATTGTTATGTAAACGAATTATGTTGGTTTTTTAACGATACGCGAATTATGTTATTATTATCTCGGTATGCAATGCAATCGTGATGCAAAAAAACTGACTATTTCTAACGTCGTTTTTTTTAAAGAGTAACACTCGATCTGACGCAATCTGACGTTTCTGTGATTTATTTTTTACCGCTACTCCATTTTTCTGTCTATAATAATCACGTCTCCGTTATAAAACGCGCAGAGAATTATCGCTTCGATTTTATTGAAAGAAATTATTTTTCGCAGCTAATAAATAGCTTGTGTATTTGAAAATACACAATATTTTTATCGGTCTGATCCGCGGAGGACGCATTAGGTCGCGCGCAAGAAGAGAATTTATGTAACGAGACTTGTAAGATTTAACAAAACTTGTGCCGTTAATTCTAATAACCAAAGATAATTGTGTTTAATTAATTAATATAGATTTGTGCGAGATGTACTGCTAGAAAAGCTATAAATATTTTCGCGTTTATGTAGAAGCCGCAGAAAAAAATATCAAAGATACTGATAAGAAAAAGAACATATAACAAGAGGAAATAAAAATGTACTTATTATCTTTTTTATCTTTTTAATATTCTACTTATATATATTTTATATTCTGAAATAAAGATTACGGATAAAACAATAATCCTCTGTCTCTATCTCTCTTTTATAGCGACACTCTAGTCTAGTAAAAGCATTACAAATCTTTTTTTAATTCCATTATTTTATTGTTCTTGTAAACAAATGTCTGGAAATATAATAATTAAATCTACAAATATGAAAAACGACAAATATCAAATTATTCGTATGAAATAGGAATAGTATATACGCAAACTTTTGTGAATCTGAGCCAAGATTCTGAGTCTGTTGATTAAAAATATTCTCGAAATTTTAACGAAAACAATAGTGGATCAGGTAGATTAAAAATTCGTATTATATAATATATAATAATATTGTTATAAAAATAATATTTTGTTTGCACATTTGCAGTTTGAAATCGCTCGATGATTCGTGATTCTATATCGCATGAGATGTTTATCGCATCCGCAATCTACTAAAATCTATCCGATTCATATCGCAGAGAATCTATAAATGCGATCATGTTGTATCGCGTTTAATCTTGGAGATTCTACTGTTATCACATGTTTATAAATATAGCTAATCTACGTGAAGCGAAGTGTATATCAAACGGAGATAAAATAATCCGCCTAAGGTTAAATCTACGCGGTGACGATTAGATATTGCAAAAAGATGCACGGAGCGAACATATGAGTAAGAAAGAAAAAAGAGGGAGAGACGACGGGGACAAATGATAAATCTAACGATTCGTAAAACGGAGGAACAACAACACGGCCGTAGAGATTCTGGCGAATAACATCTCTCTATCGGAAGTGGTGCTTTTTATTTGGTAGCCTCGCGATCGCGTTCTCGTACAAACAAGCTTTCGATAAGCGCGATCCTCCACCGCATCAACTTTTGCGTTAGCTCATTCATGCGTCAATCAAAACACATTAATTTCGCCGGTCGCGAGACCGAGTCGCGAGACTGCGGGAACAACGAATCGCGTTATCGTAATTTTCCGTAAATCGAGAATGACAAAGAGAAAGGGGGAGAGAACCTTAGCTATGCTCGGAGCACCGATCGATCGATCTCTTTGTTTCGCTTACGCTTACGTGGAAGCGAGTACGTGATCGCGAATAACGTGACGTTCCTTCTGTCTCTTCCTCTCTCTTTTTCTCTCTCCGATTGCATCCGACGACATAATCGAAGAGCTGAATTTTATTAAAAACCGGTTCGACAGACTGTATACAAAGATAACAATCGTTAAATGTACCATGTCTACGAGTAATAGCATTCTCTTGGCGTATAATTGTTATACGACATCGGCTTTTCACTGGAGCAAACGCGAGTATTCTTATACAAAATGCATAAAATCTGGCGGATTTATTGAAGAAATTAAACGTGTGACATTGCCTCATAACGCGCGAGTAACTGAAAGTAGAGTTTATTTATTGCACACTAACGCGCTTATTATATAAGAATTAAATAAGAATGTATATCTTTCGATCATATTTATATATGTACATTGGAGATAATGCAGGTTCATTGACACCTCTTCGTATCACTAATCGTTAGGGATGTGCACGCGGTATTTCTTTCCATTTTGAGATCGCACGTCTTTGAGGAAATTGCAAAACATATAGACAAAAATATCAAAATTTCATTAGATATATATATATATATATATATATATATATATATATGAGATATTCTAAAAATACTTTTTATCACTTATACTTTACCCATACAGCACAAAATATTATGAACGTTTTCAAAAAATATTTCTAAATATTTCTATAAAATATTGCATAAAACATTTTAAAATGGTTTTAAGAATATTTTGAAACGATTTAAACATTTTTTAGAATATTTTAAAAAACTTTTCATAAAAATATGTTTAAAAATGTTCTTTTTTTTTTTATCGCTCAGATAATATTTTCTTAAATATTTAATACATATTTTTGAAATATTAGTTTAAATCTATATTAAAAAATATTTTTCAAACCTGAAAAAGCGGACATAGGAACATTTAAAAAATATCTATGAGAATTATTTTATCTTTCAAGAAACATTTGTAAAAGATTTCAAAAATATTTCGTGCTGCATATGGGTATCACTTATCCTTCGATCGATTGGAATTAGAAAGTTTAAAAAAAAACGAAGCATTTCGTAAGATTGAAACAAAGTAATCTTTTTTCGGACGAATCTCGCGGTTGTCTCGATGCATTATTTCGCGCATTGGAGATATAACGATCGGAACAATATCATAGGATTCACACGCACACATACACACACACATACACACGAACGAAGGCAGGATTATATGGTCGAGAAATACGATACATCGTGATTAATACCCGGACGATTAGTGACATTAATAGAAACGCGTTACATAACACGCTGATGCTAGCTCGTATACATGAATGTATATTATATGTACAATATGCATAGATATAATTGTTGTTGCGCGGAGATCCAGAAAAATCGATAGCATCGCGGGCCAATGTGTGCATGTGTGTGACTCGCGTAGTTATAAATACGTATAATGAGTAGAGAAACTCAAACTCGTTTGTGAGAGGAATAGAGACGGAGAAACTGGCTTCACGCACGGTCTCGTTCGTGTACATGTTGCTTCCCTCTCACAATTACAAGCAACTGTGTTTGTCTATGTAGGCATATGTATGTACGTCTCCAAATTTATCAAAATGTATCTGTTATTAAAAGGACGGTTAAACACAACGGCCTATCTCGATTTTCATTATGTCGGCATTAAACGAGAAATTCTCAAATAAAATCAAACAAACACCTTGTAAGGTGGACAAAAAATATCACTAAAAACTATAAAATTATAAAACCGTTTACTCGAATCCGTCATTTTTGAGTGTCATCGCAAATTCGTACCGCAGTTCCAGGTTCCAATATTATCGAAAGGAACGGGTCAGCGAACAAAGCGATAAAAAAGCAATCAGAAAATGACAAGAAACTGAGAAAAAGCGTCGAGAGTCGCCGCAGCGAGAAACATCGGCCGTAAATACGCGATCGTAAAATCTCACACGCATACACCCGCGAGCGCACATTATGCGTCACGCGATTTTTTCACCGATAAAGCGGTCACCGCATACATATATATATATATATATATATATATATATATAGTATACACACACACGCATTTGTGCCTTTATAGATTTTTTTACCTACACGCGCGTATCTCCGCCGAATTCGATCGCATCAAATATATCGCTCGCGATCGGCGAAAAACAAAAACAAAAAAGAGAGAAATGGAAAGGTATATGTTGATCACGGTTTAGCATAAAATATCTATAAATTCGAAAGATTAATGTCTTGCGAGAAGAAAATATATTTTGTCCAAATAAAATGTTCAATCTCCCTTCGCGTATTTTATACATGTTTTTGCAATATTATAATGATAACATTATAATGCGATAGGACTTTCTTTGGAAATTATTTGTATATTCCAACAAACATCTCTTCAGGTAATTATATATACGAATGTGTATCGAGAGCATTTAAGAATATTATTTTCGACCTGTGCGTTCAGTGAGAATGATGTAAATTTCTGCAAAATTGCTTTCCGATAAAATCGATTTCTCCGTATCGAGAAAAACAACTTTACAAAAATTTACGTCATTCGATTCTATACTATCGATGTAATTAAGCCGCACGTGTTTAGATTGGGGTGAAAGAGTCGAAAAACATATACCCTCTGTATCGATACAATAATAATGATTACGCCTCGGTGAACGATAAGTCGGATGATTAAATGACGAGACACGTTATATAGAGTTCGATTAGTGTTTAATTAGAGATATCGCGGGAGACTCGGTGTCTTCTCTTGTTACGATGTAACGACGCGAAGATTAAAAGACAATTACAATGCGATATCGATTTAAATATATAGCGGCGAGTTAATTCTGTCGAGTTGATCGATCGACCGATGGAGAATCGTATATTTATTTTCTTCTATCTCGATCTTTGTGTGCAATTGATCTCGCAATAAGTCATAACTTATATTGACGGGGAAGCGCCAGATGGTCGAGGGACAATTTGCTGCTTTTATTATGCATCGTCGCTTAAAGCCCAATCAATCAGACTCCCGAAGGAAATCGTCTTCGTTGATCCTTCAATTGCAAATACTATATATATATATATATTTTTTTTTTAATTTTATCAATGTGCTTATAGTATGCTCTTAAGCATGAGACACCCTGTATATATTTGTATCTGTATCATTTACATATATTGAATGCATTCCGTGCACATATATTTAATATTTTATTTCTAGAGTAACTATATTATTTGAGGAAAAAAAGGATAGAAAATAATAGAATTCTAAAATCTATTGTAGACTTTTGTTCACTAAACAAATATCTAAAAAAAAAAGAAAAGTTTTGCAATTAGTGCTCTAAAATACTTACTGAGACAATTGTTGATAATTATTAACTTGTAATTCATGTTTTATTTCTCCTCCGTGAATTGTTCTTCGTACTTCAACTAAAAGAAGGAGAGAAAGGAATTCATGTGAGGCTAAACATGTATGTCGCGCCATCTCACGTCATCCACATTCGACGTAGTGTGGACTGTTGCCGCTCCGCGTCGCTCGCCATGCGTACGTCAGTGTGTTCCCGCACGTCGTTCAACGTTGTCATCGTCGTTGTTGTCATCCTCGTCGTCGCTGTCGCCGTCTTCGTTGACGTCGCGAATATCGTCTCTCGCGCGTTTTGCTCGTCCGCAACGTCGGTCCGCACTGACGCAAGGTAAAGCATTCGCAGGTCGATTGCGACTGTCTCTCCCTTGCCATGACTGCTTTCGTTTGATTTTACGCCAATTTTGCATCGCTTCGTCCGACCGTCGTCGAATCTTTAATCGGGCCACTCGCTCGCGCATCTCGTTACCTTTTCCGGTAACCAGATGACACGTCCGTGCAATCCTCGCGAAGGAGCCGCGTTCGTGCATATATACGTGTGTGCGTGTTGCATGTGTGCCTGATGCATCCCGCAATCCCGCATCATATGTGCGTTATGCGTGCGCATATAGTTGTGTGCGTGTACGTGTGGGAGAGATTGAGAGATGCGATGCGAGCGTCAATTCCTGTTTACCGTTTATCATGTGAAACTTCAAGTGCTCTTCACATTATTTTTCTCATTTCCGGAAAAATTTAAAACAATTAAAGTATATATGTAAGCAAGAGAGAAAACGCGATTATGTTTGTTTATACGCATATGATCAAAGTCAAAACTCTGTTTGGTTTCCTCAAGTGAAGAACACTTTGCTGGCTGTGCGTGAATAAAATCCTGTCCCAACGAAATATGAGTTATTTTTGTATTTCTTTTATAATTTCCTTTTGCTGTTTTTTAATTATAATAAATATGCTCCGTTTATCAAAAAATCCACATTTGTGTATTATTCTTTAGCAAGGCAATTTACATTTTATTTTATATTTTTTCAAGTATTTATATTTTTATAAAGAAATATCTTAAGTGTTTGTTAATTTGGAATTTGTCAAAAGTATTAAAATTGGAAAATTTATTTTAAATGTAATTTTAAATGTTAAACTAATAAAGCCTTGTTTGTATGTTGAGAAAAAATACTTGGAAAAAAATTAATTTATAATTAGTATTTTTGCTTAAAAATTGTTTTCGGAGAATTAAATATCGACAATTGTTGTTTGTCAATGATATTTGTTAATTAAAATGTAACAATAACACTTATAAATCTTTTATATAATTCTAATTGTTGCTTTAAACGTTGCATTGTTGTCAGGAAATGGCTGCACAGTTCTCTCCAGGTTTTATTCGTTACACACATGATCCAAGATTACATGATCCAAGATTACCTTCGACACGGATTTTTGAAGAACAAATATACGAAGAACCTGAAATACGTTTAGCGCGATTTCTATACATTGGAAAGGAATATGCCAATTATCAACCTGGATATTGGTTCTCTCATAATTACTTTATTATTAAGAATGTTCCATCCATAGAAGAACTTGCTCAGAATGAGGAAAAGCAACTGGTGCCCATAGAATTAATCATAAATGTAATTATTAATATAAATTGCATAATGTGTGTATCATAATATTTTTGTTTCTAACTATTTCTAAGATGAGACTTTACTTGTAGGCGTTTGAAAGCAATCTTGTCCCACATCCAGAAACTTTGGTATTTGCTCTCGCAATTTGCTGCAGGCAAAATAAGAGCGAAAAGTTGAGAGCCGCGGCATACGAAAATGTAAAAAAGATTTGTGTATCTCCGCAAGATTTTATCCTGTTTATTAATTTCGCCTCTAGACTGTGCAGAGAAAAGGAGTTGACTTATGTCACACAAGGATGGGGAAATGGCTTGAGAAAGGCTATTAATAATTGGTATCTTTCTAAAGAGCCATTGGATCTAGCAAAATGTGTCACAAAATATAAAAGTAGGTATGGCTGGAAACATAAAGATATTGTCAAGATGTCGCATCCTTCAACCGATAGTCCAGGTAAATACCCCTAATTTATTGAAGAAAGATTTATAAGAAAAATTATTAAATCACAGAAAATGATTAGTAAATTTATTAATATTTTTGATATCATTTTTTGAGATTTGTCAATTTTCTTTTAGATAACAATAACAAATCTATTCTTTTTATCTTTGCATTTATGTTCTTATCGTATTTATCTTCTTATGTATAAATAATTATGTAATTGATGTATGATTCTTATTAGATTCCAGTGCAATGTCAATTATTCAAATTTGTTTAACAATTAATAGTTAAGTTTATAAATTATTAAATTTTAGTTTAACGGATAACTTATATGTAGTAAATTTACATTTAATTATATTGTAATTGATGGCTATAGCCATCAATTAGTGGTATAAAAATATTACTTACATAGTTAATTATTTCATAGAAAAAGAAGTGGTACTGAAATATATATTATATGGCATGGTAAAAATCAAGGCGGATTTAGAAAAACAATCCGAGAATCCGAATATTAACAAAATATTGGAGTATATACAAGAGGTAGAAGACTTTAAACACTGTGAAGATGAAATCCAAGCAGCTGCTCTGTTGGAAACATATGGATTATCATTAGAACACATACCTGGACATTTGCTAAAATCCAAGGAGGTAAAGTGCTACAATCTTTTTTTTTCATTGTGTTATTAATTTATTGAAATGCAATTTCTAAAAATGTTACAAGTAAAATTATAGTGTATATGGAATTGACAATTTAATATCTAATTATTTATAATATTGAAAATTAAGTCCTTGATGTGTAAATAAGTTTTATCGAATTATAGAAGAATTGATTTCATAATTTACATAATAAAATATTTATATGGCGAAAAATAAAAAGCGCTACATTTTTTAATGCTATATAAAAGGAAAGGAAATTAATCACACATGCATGTTAATCACAATTAGCGTTAATCGATATTTATCAAGACATTGATGTAGGCTGATATAACATCTTACTATTTTGTCTCAAGGTTTGGAAATCATTGATACCATCAATGGATATTGTTACACTCTTAAACAATCTGCAAAGGATTAACAATCTTGGATTATTAAATTTAGATGGATTGACAGTCGAGAAAGTGAAGCAGCAACTTACTAATGCAGAATATATAGCGCAAAGTAAAATTCATCCAGCATTAATTTTCATCACTCTAAAAAATTACGAACATTCCGGAAAGTAAGTGCAATTGTGTGCCTTTCTGTAATCGATAGATTAAATGTAGGATTATATATCACTGATACGTATATACATTTTCAAGACCTTTGACTTTTGAGAAACGAAAAATTCAACAAGCAGCAAAGAAAGCTCCAAGATCGCCACCTAAGCCGAATAAAGAAATAACTCAAGCTCTATACAAAGCATTCGATTTGTCATTTGCTGTAAGTCAATTTTTTTTACAGATTGTTTTGCGATATTTATGATGGTCGCTTCAGTATAATTCTATTCTAGTTATTAATTATTATTCTATTGTTGTTATTAATTATGATTATTATAATAACAATGTCGTCAAATTTTATTTTTAGCATCAACAATCCACAAACTTGCGCTACTTGGTGACAATTAGTACGAACAAGGCGATGGAAGCATGCACTTGGCAAACCGCTAACATGACTGGCATCGAGACTGGTTGTCTCATCGCGATGATGCTTTTACGTTGCGAAACGAATGTTACCATAGCGACATTCAAAAATAATGGTGGAGTTAACACGGTGAACGTCAACCAGACGCAATCCTTCAGCGAGATCTTGGATGTATTACACAAAATACCCATTGGAAGTACCAACCTGAGTAAACCAATATTGTGGGCCATGAAGGAAAAGGCGAAATACGATGTCTTCATCAATATTGTGGATCAAGTGTACGAAAAATATGATGAATCTCAGAACACTTTCATATCATATAGAAATGATATGCAACTTCCACAGGCAAAGTAAATGCGCGTTTTTATTTATTACATCAATTTCTTAAAGTAAATAGAAAAAGATGCGAAATTTTCTTTTTTCAGACTTATTAATTGTAGCGTATGCTGTTCCTCGACATATCGTAAGATAAATTGTGACAAAAATATCTTGACGATCAACGGTTTCGACGCTACTGTACCTATTGTCATCCAGGCGTTCTCCCAGTCTTTCTTTTAAATATGGTGCGTAAATGCATATATTTTTATTCCTAAGTATTACAAATTAGTGAAAGACTGTGTGCGCATTGCAGGAAATTCTTCGAAACTTGTTTTTCTTTCAAGAGAATATGATACAAACGGTCAAATGAAGAAAGGAAGTTCATTCTCCTAAAGCATATTTTGACACAAAAGTGGAGTAGTATATTGTTTTGGCAGTTTGAGGAGCCAATTATATAGTGAGAATGTATCAATTTTCCTTCAAAATCGAATCGGGCGAACAAGCAAACAACTAATGTGATGAATAGAGGCGAAGGAAAGTTATGTGCAAATAGAACTTTTATTAATTACTTAAAAACAGTGACAAATTTTTAAGTTTTAAACGTCGGCTTGGATTTGTATATCCATAACTGAATCAAATTTTTAAATTTCGCCATCTATTAATGTTAATTTATATAAGATCTAACAGAGAGATAGTACATTTGGAACGTAGAATTACAGAGTATTGCAAGTGAATAATGAAGAGTATCGAGAATATTAATGCACAAATAGCGGCGTGCATTATTACTGGCGCACGACGATAACATTAATATTATCTATTACATGTTCTTAGTGTTAGGAAACAGCTGTGTAGTATTTTCCTTTTTGTGTGTAAAAAGATCAAGTATTTTTTTACTTCGATTTGGATTTTCGATTATACTACTACTTAAAGTAACTCAGCGATTTTATTTTTAGCGAACATTGGCGCGCAGTAGCGCATCAATTCGATAATCGTATAAGCAATATATAGATCAGTTACATATACTTTTTTATTAAGCCGTTGCATATGAAGTCTCACTTTTTCACTTTATTTAATTTTAATAATATATTTGGAATGTGTAAGTTTTTTTTCTGATACATATTGATGAAATTGTACATATTGTCATTTGCTTTAAATATGCTATCAAGTATATGTTACATCGATACTTTTCTCTGTCTTTTTTTAATATAATTATTTACAAAGAGAGAGAGAGAGAGAGAGAGAGAGAGAGAGAGAGAGAGAGAGAGAGAGAGAGAGAGAGAGAGAGAGAAATTGTTTGAGGATTGTTTAGTCAATTTAAACTTTTTATATCATTTAATGACTGAAAAAACAGATATCGTTACTTATTGTTAGCTTAAAAAATTTCGCATTAAACATCTTTACGTAAACATCTCCGTAACTTCATATGCAATTGCAATAATCTTTGAGAACTACAAAAAGAAAGAAAAAGTACAATTCAATAGTCCTATGTTCCATAATAGTGCATTATCAGAGACACACTACGCAGCGAAAAGTTAGGATAAGACTGCATAACGGATACGGAAACGCGTATCTTAAGTAACATATGGTGCATTTTTTGACTAATATGATAAAGAAAAAGAAAAATCTTATACTCTCTAATATTATATTACTATATTGCTTGCTTAATTCCACTGGTTGCCGGTTTACGCTTCTTCGTAACGTGTGCGTATGGATAACGTGATCTTATTAAAAAAAAAGAAAACAAAAAAACAAAAACAAAAAGAGAAACAAAAGTGACACGCTTCTGGTGACCGGTGCGCTTCTGGACGGTTAAAAAAATAATCTAAAATAAGTAAAACGACAAAAAATAAAAAAAAGAAAGCGAAAGAAAGGAGGACGGTGATGAACATAGGAACGTTGAAAATTTTCCCACTGTGATACGCATTTAGCCCCAAAGAGTTATAGACTTACATTAGTATAATTTTACTGTTACTATCTCATATTTGCCATATCCAAAGTGAAGACAAGCGAGAGACAAATACTAAATACACTACTGAATAATATACTGTGATACGAGATACATTGTTGTTGTTCAAACTAGGGAAATGGTATTTAAGGCGACGCAGCCCAGAAGCGCACCGTGTTTTATTATACCTATTTGTTGAATTTTAGTCGCTTTGCGCGAGCGAATTAGCGCGTGAATTTTCTGTTGAAAATTCCGTATCGTATTTTTTGACAATGAGTTCTCGATCTACGGATTATCGTCTCGGGTTTATTCCCCTTTCGGGTTTTCGCGTATGAGAAGCACACGTATCTCCTTCATACCTGATTGCTAAAAAGTACAGTGTGGATGAACTCTCAGGTCTTCGAAACAAATTTCAATCAAGTGCTTAACTATTCACCTGTTCTTTGCAGCTATTCCCTCGATAATCTGTAGATCGAAAGCTATCAATGAATAAATTCTCTTTCGATAGAACAATATTTTGAAAAGAATGTATAAGTAAACTTGTCCCTTTTAAGCAATCTATATGCACTTGTAATAAAAAATGAAATCAAACTCTAGTTAATTCTCTACAGATTAAAGACACACTTTTTTGCCGAATTATACAAAAAGTGAAAGAAATTAATGTTTTATTGTTGATTGTTGAAAAAGATTTATTCAATAAATTACGTCGCGAGAGAGTTAATTAACAATGAATTAATTTCGCAAAAAAGTTTTAAAAAAAAGATTTTCCATTTTTTATCTACATTGAAAGGGATATGTATTCATTTCAAAATACATTGTATGCAGCGATATCTTATTGATAGGAATTTCAAAATGTGTGTTTGTAATATTTGGCGAAAAAAAGCTGTAAGTTTATTTTTAAGGATCATATTTCAAAAGAAAATTCACACGAACGATTATTGGCTCTCGGTTGCGCAACGGTCTTACCGAGAATTTTATATTAAATTATAATTTATCGAAAATATTTATCTCTTACTTTTACACGTTATTTCTAGATTTGGTATTTTGCGAGCATGTTGCTCTTGGAGAAATTATTTATACATTTATTGCGCGCACGCACACACACACACTTTGTGTCTAAATCTTTGTTCAATGTTCGGTGGGAGAATTTCTAGCGCATTTTTACGAGAAAACTTTGTGGCGCAAGAGCGAAAAAAAGAACTTTATTTTGAAAAACGAATTGCGTTTAGTTATCGAAATGCGAATTTAAGAATAATATTCACGCTACGATCATATTAGTAGCTCAATTGTATTCACTGGCATTAGTGAGTAGGCATTACATAGTATTTGTATATGTATGAGAGTGCGTCTTACGATCGGGGAGGATTTCGTCTTTAAACGCTGCTCTTCTTTTTTACAACAGACATTTACAATAATCGACCAATTTAATTCTAAACTCAATCGCTAATAGCAATCCTATCATAGTACAAGCAGATCTCTTCTATAATCGAATATATAGCGATATATATGTATATATATATATATTACGAAATTATAATATTAAATTTAGCTATAGCGTTCAATACTCGAAGACAGAGTGTCGAGAGTGTCATGAGAGATTCGAATATCCCAGTGTCGAAATCCTTTCCGGTTGCGATGTGCGCGCGAATATATGTATTCATTAATATTATTATATAAGATTACGTCCGAAATATATGACATATAGACTGGCGTATAAAGGGAAGAAAATAGAGAAGAAAAGGAAAAAAAAAGCAAGTAGTATAGCCAGAGAACTTGAAAGGAATCACTTATCCGCGCTGTTATTTCACAGTCTAGTTGATTTCGGGATGCGCTGTGTAATTAAACAGAAAAAAAGGAAACAATATGTTAAATGTGTTCATGATAGATGAAGAAAAAAAAGATATTTACCGCGTAAAGAGAGAAAGAGAGGAAAATAGAAATTCTGCATTATGTAGTTACGCATTATTATAAAACGATGGGGAAGGGGGAAAAGGATGTAACGGGATGAATCGTGGGACATGTGTGGCACCAAGTGCGATACACGACGTCTCGGATCATCGCTCGTTCTCGCCTTATCTAAGCGGGAACGAGTCAGCTTCCTCGCCGAAGACGATCCTCCGAAATTCCGGATCTGATTTCGATTGATTTCGACCAGGAAGCACATCCACGAACGTACTTTATCCGATTCGTAAGCATTACAGGCATCATTACTGTCTCGGAGCAAATACCGTTAGTCACGAGTCTGCATATACGACTCGAGAAAACTGTAAAGCGACTCATTCACACTTGTTAAGGTATCTTGAACTCGCTCGAAAAGAGTTTTAGCTCTTGCTATAAATTAATTAATAATTTTCGCGAAATAATTTAAGCGAATCATTTGTCAATCGAAGGACTTCCATTTTTAATTGTGCATTCTCTTTTCTATTTTCGATTCTCTGTCAATCGTATGCAGACTTGGTTGTGACTAACGCAAGTACGAAAATAATACATCATGTTCCTTAGGATTATACATATTATACACGAAAGACAAAGTTTATAATTCCATAATTAGTACATTGTCGCTTCAACGATCTAAGAAGAAACTAGAAAAAAAAATAAAAGTGCTCAATACCCCGTTGTTCGAAGCTTTCGACGCAAATGCCAAAAGTATAAAGGGAAAAAAAGAAAAGTGAAATCTCGAAGAACGGAATATATTCAATTCTACATGTACAAAAACCGCAATGAAATACCTCGTTACCTTGTTCTCAGTGTAAAATAGCAAGAGCGAATTGTACTAACTCTGCGAGTTACGACGAAAATTGTCCCTCTCGTTGTTCGTGATTCACGCACTGAACCGCCTATGTCTTTTGGCCTTACCTTTTTACATACGAAAAATCCTAAGTAAAGGCGAAACGAATCGATTCACAGACGAATAATACCGTTCACTTCAGCTGTTCTTTGCCTTGTTCGATGGATTATTTATTTTACACGTTTTACATCTTTCGGCGTCTTTCTAAAAAAAAAGTTTTGAGATTCTTGAAAAACATTTCCCTCGTGTATCCTTCAACGTGTATTGTTATAATTATCTTTAAAAAAATGTGACCCCTTTAGAGCGTTAGTTAGAAGTGCTATTTTTACGGCCAGTGATCGTTTCTTCTCACGTGTATTGCGAAAGAAATCGGCGTGTCACAAAAGAAAAAATAGAAAATATTTTTTGAGAATCTCAAAATTTCTCTTCAGATTCCTATATGTGTATACTATATTTTTGCAGCGCCCGGAATTATATCGCGTCAAATTGATTTCTCGGCGTTTTAGTTAAGGCTAGTATTATTACATGTGTATAGATTACACAATGCGCAAAGCGATATATATTATTCGGTAATTTTGGAAACATGAATAAGAGGAATTGTCGCGTATACGCTGCGTGGGAAAAGTTTCAGAAATTAAATTATGTACGGGGGGGGGGGATAGAAACTTTGAAAAAATTATTTGCCGTCCTTGATTAGTAAATTGACGAGAATTTTTAGATATTAGTCTGCAATCGTACGATATATATTTTTTTCATACGATATTTTAGACGAAAAAAATAAGATGTACCTAAACATGATATAGAAATGATTTAAGTACATTGAAATTCTACTTATTTTTATCATATAAAAACACTTGATTGTGATTGCGATTATTCTCTCGATATAGAGTTAGTTTAAAAACTTAAAAAAAAAGTAGACGACAATTTAAATTTAAGGGTTTAAGTCGTGATGCAAAATCGCAAAACTTTTCCAACACAGCTATAAATTCCCCATCCTATCGATATTATTTTTATACCCAAGTAAATTTGTGAAAAACACATTACGTAAGCGCCTAGCATCTTGTTCCAAGCGAATTAACGTGTTCATAAAGTTCCATTCGGAGAAGCAAGAATTATGTTATGTCATCATCGTGTTTGTTAATGGTTGTATTTTGGTACGCAAAATAGAGACGGATAAAGAATTTGTTATAGGAAATTGATTATGTCTACGAATTTTGTGCTGTTTTTGTTACAATATGAACTTGATTAAATAAATTTCTCAGAACCCAAAAGCATATCTTTCACTTTATTTACCGTATCGACGAATCAAAGGAATAAATAAAATGATAAAATTAAAAGCATCGACTAATCCAAAATCCATCTTTTTCTTTAACTTTCACCTACTGGGGGAGAAAAAAAGGAAAATTTGTATTACAAGTTTTAGAAAAATCATTACACCGCGTATATGTGATCAAAGTGATACCAAACTAAGAAACAAACACCATAACGCATTTGACAACATTCGCGTAATTTCCGCAATTGTATATCGAATTTGATGTATAGACGGAAAATTGTAAATATCTCCATAGATATTATTGTAAAAAAGAAAAAGTATATAGTTTACTGAAAAACTTTATTCTTACGATACTGATACATATTTGCATTCACCCACGTAGAGATAGGGCTACATTGTACGTTGTACGATGTAACTCGGTGGCAGTATACGAGTTACACAAGCCCGTGCGCGAGTACAAAGTACTGGCATATTTAACATTCACCCTCTCACGCATACTCGCGAACAAACCTTAACACTCTTTGCTCCGCGATTCATCGATTATCATTATTACACTTAATGGAACATACAAAACAATTCGAAATAAATTAACGACGCAATAGTCAATGTATGTATGTGTATATGTATTTCTCACGAGGGATGAGCAAAGCGTCTATCTCTCTTTACTTTCATCGAGGTCAAATTCCTCCTTAGCAAACACGATGTAGAAACTGGCTGACGACAATTTTTATACGATAATCGACAATCCCTTCGTTCCTAACATTGGCATCATGCAACTCAAGATTGGACGAGTTGAGCGCGATAGAACGAAATCTTCAAACTACAATGTGCGTATGTGCATTACACACATCTCGTTAAACTTTCATTTTATCGTTACAATTCGATCAAACGCGGATCTCTCGACTCGTTTTGTATACAGTATACACACAGTCGAACGATCAATTTACAATCAAGATAGAGTTGCCCATTCAAGGAAAATGCGAGACAATGTTAGAATTAAGCTGATAAAACAATAGTTAAAATTTTGTATATATTAATAACAAATATTTGACGAATCGATAACGTGTATATGTCCAAAGTCATGTAGAATGTATGAAAAATCTGACGTTCAACATCCTCAGCACTTTCTCGCACTTTTCTTAAATATACATTGACGATTTACATACAACGAAGACTCGTATTCCCACTGTACATTTAACTTTAAATATCTTCTTAACCTAAGAGTTCTTAAAGTTTAGATATACTATATATTATCTAAGGGAAACTTAGAACCAAACAGCCACACTTTTAGAGCTAAACGTACGGCGAGAACATCCCGTTTTCAGCCTTTCGTAATTATTGTGTATTAACGACACTTCTGTAAAGTATTTGCTCGTGGAGGCGAGTAATCAGTCCAAACCGCGAACCGAAGGAAGCGGATCGGCGGCTTGCAGTTAAAGCTCGTCCTTGAGATCTTCGTCGTCGCCACCGTTGGTAGGTGGTGGGACACCGCCGCCCGCGCCCTGATACAACTTAGCAATAATCGGCTGAACGACGTCGCTGAGTTCCTTCTTTTGCTTCTTGTACTCCTCCGGATCGGTGTCCTGATTCTCCTCCAGCCACTTGATCTTCTCCTCGATCGCTTCCTCCATCGTGGTCTTGTCCGCATCGCTCAGTTTCGAGCCGAGTTTCTCTTTGTCAGCCAATTGATTTTTAAGCGAATATGCGTACGACTCTAATTCGTTGCGCGCCTCCACCCGCTCTTTAAGCTTCTTGTCGTCGTCGGCGAACTTCTCCGCATCCTTGATCATTCGTTCGATGTCGTCGGGTGTCAGACGGTTCTGGTCATTCGTGATGACGATCTTTTCGCGATTGCCCGTGCCCTTATCTTCGGCGGATACCTGCAGAATACCGTTGGCGTCGATCTCGAAGGTTACTTCGATCTGCGGTATGCCGCGCGGCGCCGGCGGGATGCCGGTCAGGTCGAATTTGCCGAGCAAATGATTGTCCTTGGTCATGGGGCGCTCACCCTCGTACACCTGAATTGTCACGGTGTGCTGACTGTCGGATGCCGTCGAGAAGATTTGAGATTTCTTTGTGGGAATGACTGTGTTTCTGCGAAAATAAATGAAGAATGTCACATTCTCGCTCGTTTCATCTCGTTTCACGCGTAAATTCGTACGAATTAATCAACTGATAAATAATTCAAGTATTCAGGAATTTAATGACGATTCGAGCATTTTTTCTTCTTTTTTTTAAAGGAAAAAGTCTGCAAATTTAGAAATATGATATTGTATTTATATGTATAATGTAAAGAAAAAAATATACTATGTTGTACATATCTGCCTTAGAATAACGATCTCTGAATAAAATTTTGGTAATCAACATTACGTAAAACCGCATGGAATTACGCTTAACATCTATAATCGTTGGTATTTACCTTGGAATAAGTTTAGTCATTACACCTCCGACGGTTTCGATACCCATAGTGAGAGGATTAACATCGAGAAGTACGATAGCATCGGTGTCTTGTTCTCCGGAGAGCACACCGGCTTGTACAGCGGCGCCATAAGCGACGGCTTCGTCGGGGTTAATGCCCCGCGATGGTTCCTTGCCGCCAAAGAATTCCTTAACTAATTGCTGAACTTTCGGAATCCTGGTCGAACCGCCGACTAGGACAATCTCATCTACATCTTTCTTGCTCATGTCAGAGTCCTCCAGGACCTTTTGCACGGGTTTCAAGGTACTACGGAAGAGGTCCATGTTCAGCTCCTCGAATTTGGCACGGGTCAACGTCTCGGAGAAGTCCTCGCCCTCGAAGAACGATTCAATCTCTATCCTGACCTGTAACGTATAAAGACAATTAGATCAGCAATTATAAATATATAATAATCGTACATTCGATAAAAAGGAAAGGAGAAAAGGCAAAGAAAATACTATATAAACAAACATGTACATACCTGATGGCTAGCACTGAGTGCTCGCTTGGCCTTTTCGACTTCACGACGCAATTTTTGTACAGCTCGATTGTCCTTGCGGATATCCTTGCCCTTCTTCTTCTTGTACAGTTTGATGAAATGATCCATTACGCGCTGATCGAAATCTTCGCCGCCCAAGTGGGTGTCGCCATTGGTTGCGACTACCTCGAACACACCATTATCGATGGTAAGTAGACTCACGTCGAAGGTACCACCACCCAAATCGAATACCAATACGTTCTTCTCGCCATCCTTTTTATCCAGACCGTACGCGATCGCGGCGGCAGTCGGCTCGTTGATAATCCTCATTACGACCAGACCAGAGATCGTTCCAGCATCTTTAGTCGCCTGCGAGAGTAAAAAGTCAAACGTTATAATCGCAATGAATTCGTCACGCGTATATATAAATATCGCTTTCTCAATATAAAATACATCAAACAGGATATAAAGTCGATGATTCGGATACTCATGCCACACTTGTGCGCAGGGTGTAATGTTATCTCTTATCACACACTTGAGGAAAAAGAAGTCAATCCTCACCTGTCTTTGTGCATCGTTGAAGTACGCTGGCACGGTAACTACCGCATGAGTGACTTTCTTGCCTAGATACGCCTCGGCGGTCTCCTTCATCTTGCCTAACACCATAGCGGAAATTTCCTCGGGCGCAAACACTTTTTCACCCTGATTAGTCTCGACTTTAATGTGCGGTTTACTGTTCTTCTCAATGACGGGGAATGGGAAAAATTTGACATCATGCTGCACAGTGGGGTCTGACCACTCGCGGCCGATCAGCCGCTTGGCGTCAAACACGGTGTTTTCTGGATTCGTCGTCAGCTGATTCTTGGCGGCGTCACCGATCAGACGTTCACCGTCATTGGTGAACGCCACGTAGGACGGCGTAATACGGTTACCCTGATCATTGGCTATGATCTCCACGCGTCCGTTTTTGTAAACTCCAACGCTAAAAAGAATAATGTTTCATCAATTTGTTTACAAGCAAAAAAAAAGAAAACGAGCATCTCGTCCCGTATACTCACCAGGAATAGGTTGTACCCAAATCAATTCCTATCACTGTACCGATATCTTCCTTCTCCTTATCCTCCTTCGCGATCGTGATGGCTGCGAGCAGCACCACTATCATCGCAACTTTGACTCTCTTCATGATTAAGCGTCACCTTTATCTAAATCATTAATAATCATAGCGTTAGTGTATATATGGGTAAAATTGCAACCCGTTCCTATGCATATCATTTCTTTAATAATATTAATAACAAGTGTCACATTTATTAGAAATCTTGATAGTTTTTTGCATCATGTATGTGTTAGATTTTATGTCATTCAACTATTACATCATTAATTATTAATAATTAAAAATATATAATAAAAATTTAACATATATCTTTACAAAAAATAATTTTTAACGTAATAATAATAAATTAATTTTATGTGCAGAATAAATTTTGTTTTATAAGTTACGTTTTTTTGCATATATTAATCATATTCGGATAGACCATCTTGATATATATATATATATATATATATATATATATATATATATATATATATATATATATATATATATATATCATTTGTATCAATACATCTGGTAATAAGAAGTGGCCTTGTAATTCTCGCTAAATTACTCAAGACATTTTAATGTGCTCAACTGAGTAATTATATTTATAAGAATAGTAGTATGTGGATTAATTAGTCTTTGCAACTGTACGAGTTATCGGATTCGAACCGGGCGGATTACAGCTCGATCTCTCTCGAAACGTGTCACACGTCATCGCTTCGAAGAAATATTTGACACATCCCGACGTATCGTCTCTCATCACCAATCAATTCAAAGCAAAGATCACTCGCGGAAATATCTTTATCTACACCACATAAGGCGGAAAAGGCACGGAAATTCCCGTGAGCTTCGACCGGAGAACGGACTCGTGAGCAAACGTGGCAAAAGACCGCAATCCTCAAATATAAAGGAAAAAAGAAGTTCAAGTTGGCGAAAAAAAAAACGAACGAGAATAACACGAGCGAAAATAATCCGGAATTATCCGTATCACAGCTGCAAGTGACAATTACAATGTACAATAGAAAGACGTCCGGAAGGTCTGAAATTCTTGACGGAACATTCTCGTTCCAACGAGTTCCGCATCGAATCCCGGTTGACGTCGATACGTCGGCGTTGCGTTAAACGCAACCTTTCGTCGCGCGGACTCGACTCAAGACGAGGAGTTCTGAAGGGAGAATTCGCTTACCAGGAGAATACGTATCGTCGATTTGCTTCGAAAGAGCGAACGTTCCTTTGACGCGTGCGTTGCGTAGGAGAGCTGCGATTTCTTCGACGAGCGGTAAAACGATGACTGATGTCGTTACCGGATTCGGAGCCGGGATATTAACGGGAGCGTTTCGTCGTGGCCAACGCTGATTGGCCGCGACACTCGCGGCGCTGACGGAACGCGCTGACGTCCATTGGCGGGGCGCGCGTACAGTTGGCCGCGGCTGGTTGGCCCACGTCACGATCGCCTACCTCTAGACCCTTCGCCCACCTTCGCGATTCGTCCGCGGTTGGTTAGATATGACGGACGGAACACGTGGACGCCGTTCGCGGTCTCGCTCCCTCTCTCACAAGCCACGAGATTCGAGACGTCACGTCACGTATCGATAGTTTACCTCAGCAAGATTATCGCGCCTTATCGATATCCTTATAATGGTGCAATTTCACTTCGTAAATTATCATGCAGTTGGAATTTTTGATCATTTTGGGATAAAAATGAATTTTTGACGACTATATCCGCAAAATTGAAGATGTGCGAAGAATGAATCTTAATTTACAGGACATGTCGAGCATTTATATGCTAAAGCTAATAAATATTTGGAAGATATACATTTTTAATCTCTTCGACGAAGCAAACAAATTATACATTGGAAGAATTTTATTTAAACGAACGATGAGACAATCACAAATTTTGAATAAATATTCTCAGAGTTGCAGTAATTAGAATTATTGATAATCTTAATTTAAAAAGAAATACACATGTTATTGGAAACTGTCATTATATATTATTTCGTAATAAAATATAATACATATATGTAAACATTTTATTTGAATGTTTTCATGATCAGAAAAATATTTAAAGAATGCATACACGTTTTGCACTGATATATTTTTAATATAATATATTTATAAGTTTTATTATATGTTATTTAAGAATTTCGCAAATTTTATTGATATTTATTAACAACATTTAAATAATATTATTTGGAGAAATGTGAGAAAAACCCCGTATAAAATGACTTATAAATATATATAAGATCGGATATTTAAATAAAAAAACTAAAAATGAATTCTATATCATATTTTTTCTTCCTTTAGATATATAATTTAAAAAAGAAATTTATTTTTTTGGAAGACACATTTTTATTGGAGTTTTCATTTATCAGCATATGCTTATCAATATTCGTTGTAAGTTTTATCCATATATATATGATTATTCATTTCTCAATCACACAATACACACACACACACACACACACACACACCATCTTGATGCAACAAAATGTTTTATTTTTTCGACTTGTAAAAAAAATCATACAAGTCCCCTCCTCATAAGACATAAGATCATATACGAAATGAATGATCACAGATGGAACGTGTTATTCCGGTTATGCTTCACGCGCACCATGACACCGTTCAGTCTAACGGTATTCGTCCGTTATCTCAGATAGTAGGCTAAACGGAATGTTTGTAATAACGCAACGCACACATCTGCTTACATCATTATTTCACTAATATTATAACAGAAAAGGAGAGACAGAGAAAAAGAATTTGAAGAAAATAATACATATATGATGAAATGTTGTTAATAATGCATATTTCATGATATTTAATTTGCAAAATTTGTCATTTTAAAATTTGATCTTCTACCTATTAAAGTTTATCCTTCTGACATAAAAATTAATTTCCTACGACTACAATTATATTATTTGTAAACCTAAATACTATTATTCATAATGCCAAATTTAGTTAATTATATTGTAATATGAATTTAAATTTTAATATAATAATTAATTTAGTAAATTAAATATAACTACACACACGTATATAACTTCTAATTACAACTTACATTTCGGTTGTAACATATCCAAAAGCAATGGTGTAAAATATGTTATAATACAATCAGCACCCGCTCTTCTCATAGAAACTAATATTTCATTCAGCACGTTCTCCAAATTGATCACGCCGTTTTGTGCACCATGATATAACATGGTATATTCTCCCGAGACTTGATATACAAATATAGGATATTCTGGATGTGCATCTTTTATGTTGCGTACTACATCCAAATAAGGCAGTCCTGGTTTTACCATTAACATATCTGCTCCTTCATCTACATCTCTTGCCTTTAAAAACGTAAATTCTATATATTTACATATAAAAATATTAATTCTATCTATATATCTAACATATTGTGCAAAATAGAAGTTACAAATATAATTTAGAATATTTGAATATAACTTAATAGAATAAGTTACATTATATAATTATAGATATTTTCACTTATTTTTCTTATAGTATATACATTTCAAACATATTATGCAAATAATGAATAAAAAATAAATAAATGGACTTACAGCAGCTCTAGCTGCCAAACCGTTGCTACCAGGTGGCAATTGGTAGCACTTGCGATCGCCAAACTTGGGAGCAGATTGCGATGCGTCTCGGAAAGGTCCATAAAACCCTGACGCAAACTTTACAGCATATGATAAAACTGCTACTTTATTTGAATATCCAGCAGCAGCTAGACCTTGTTTTATTGCTCTTATTCTGCCATCCATCATGTCAGATGGTGCAATAATTTGTGCACCTGTAACAGATTACAAATATATTTGAAGTAATTAATATATGTAATTATATATAATTTTCAAAAATAAACTCTAACCAGCTTTTGCATATGACACAGCGATTTCAGCGATCCTTCGGATACTATCTGTATTATTTATGCTACCATCATTGTTGAGAATACCGCAGTGTCCATGATTTGTATACGGGCATAAACAAACGTCACATGCTATTAATAAATTAGGAAATTTGTTTCGCAGTAATGGTACAGCTTGAATAATAGGATTTCTTGCACTATCAGCATTGCTTCCAATCTCATCCTAAAAAAATTTAATAGCTGGAATTAAAAAAAAAATAAAATTTTCTCCTTGAATATTTAATTGAAATTGGAAACATAAAATTAGAAATAAACAATTATAAAAATTAAATAATATAGTTAATATATATTTTAATAGATTTTTATGTAATTTCAGAGAACTTTTTCTCTTTCTATATTATTGCAATTTATAAATATTACTTTATCAAGATGTTGCGATACACCAAATAATAAGACAGACTGCAGTCCTTTGGCAACTAAAGGTTCTAACATGTTTTCCAACTGATTAATACCATAACGATATACTCCAGGCATACTATTAATAGCATCTTTAGCATTTCTTTCATCCCTAAACATGCAAAACATTACATAACATTTCTATGATACTGCAACAAGCAGAAATATATATACCAATTAATAAATTTTTAAATTATGCTTATGCATATTTTATAGAAAAATGTAGATGTATAATTGCATAAAGTATATTATTAGAGAACAATCAGATTGTCATACTTACGATACAAATATAGGATACATAAGATTATTGACAGTGATATCAATTTGAGATTGCCACTGTCGTAAGACAGGATGAAAAATTCCACTGTGAAGAGTATGCTTAGCCGGAACTGTCGACATTTTCATTGCGTTTTAAATTTTTCTTTTTATTCACACTCTTACAGCTATACGTAATGGCCACTTGATATTATCAGTGCGATATCTGGACAATTTAATCAATATATATATATATATATATATAAACATGTTGTCTAAAGTAAATATAATATGTTATTGCAATTGATTAAAGTTGATAAATATACAGACAATATACAAACACAATACGATATTAGTTATATAAATTTATATAACATATGCTAGGCAAAATTTCTACACCTTGTCTAATAATCAAGAATTTGTTTAAGTTTGAATGAAAAATGATTAGATAACTATAAATGACTATAAATTGTGAGTTATGAACCGTGGTGTGTGAAATAATATTAAGAGATTAAACTTAACTCTTGGAGAGTAACTCTTAAAGTCTTGAAGTGGACGAGTAACTCTTGAAGTCTTGAAATGGAAATTTAGATTTGCAGAAAAATGCGTAATGAGCGTGACACGCAAAAATAAAATTATACTAATGTGACGTGATGCAACGCGTGAAGATTGCGAAATATTTTAAACGCGAACAATATAATTAGAATAAATATTGTCTTTGTTTTTGCGTTTCGTGATGCTCGAGCGTGACATGCAAAAATAAAATTTTACTCCAATTATATTAATTGACGTGATGCAACGCATGAAAATTGTGAGATATATTTTAAACGCGAACAATATAATTAGAACAAATATTCTCTTCGATCTTGTGTTTCATCATCATAATCGATAATCATTCCTATCTCGCAAGATAAGTAACAAGTATGAAATATTTTTGTAAACGTGAGAAACCGGCGAGTTTTGATATTTCGCCATATAAGTGCAGCAAAATTGGACCAATCAGGACGAAAGGAAAAGAAATTGTTCCAATTGGCTGCGCTTTAAGGGCCATTTTACAATAGTTGCAAATATTCTCGTTGCTAGTTGAAAATTGCCGATTGACCAATCAAAGCAAAGCAACTTGTCAGCTGATTGGTTAATCCTCAACTGTCAACTAGCAACGAGGATATTTGCAACCTATTGTAGAATGGCTCTAAAGCAAAAGAACACGCAACTAGTTGATTCTAATAATTATTATCATTGTATTAGTTAAATAATAAATTTTTTAAGAATAAAATTAATTATTTTGAGAATATAAAAGTAAAAATCGTAATTTTAATCTTGAAATAATAAGAGAACAAAGAAATATGCTCGAATAAATTTTGATCACGTGACTGATTTGCTGCTGCAGCATGCTGCGTATGAAAAGGCACCTAAAGACTCTTCTAGGCTGCGTTCGTAAACGTTACCCGCAGGGTATAAATGTCTCTGAACTCGTTCAGAAAGTCGAAAAATACATTATGGTGGAAAAGTTACCTTTACCCACATGCGTTTAGAAAGTTCTTGAGGAATTACCCAGGGTGCTCCTTATGTACCCTGCTCGCGACTGAGGTAGAGTTTACCCGTCATGCGCAGAAACGCACTTTTCACATTTTACACAAGAATTCCGTACCAGGGGAAAGAAACCTCTCTGTCCGTACGTGAAATAAGTGAAATTACAATAGTGTACCAAATATGTCTAATTGTAAGATATCACAATCCCAAGCTTTGTATAAAGTTATAGAAGGTGCCGATAGAAATCCAATTTTCAACGCAGAAATGTCGGAAGTTTATTTACGTGACAATAAAAGTAAGTTACAAAATATATGTTTAGAAATTTGGTACATTTATTTCGCCTTTTGTTGTGTCTTAATAGACACGACAAAGAACGAATTATGCTTAATAAATGCTTAATATCTAGTTCCTTTGTAAAAATTGCTTTGTATAATTCTCAAGTTAATTGTTAAAAAACGTTTACAAATAACATAACCTCTTTTAATTATATTTTACAGCAGGCAGAATGGCTTATATTCCTTTAACGGAATATATTATTGAAACTTTGCTCAAACCGTATGGAATAGAAATTATGTTACCCGAAAAAAATGTTGATACAGAAAATTCATCTCGCTGTTCGACATCTATCTTAGAAGAAACTGAGAACATAATATTGATACCCTTAGAAGAGAGCAATGAAAAAGTTCTGGATAAAGGAATGAAAAACTTATGGACAGATAAAAGTAGAGCAATGCTGCTACATTTGTACAAAAAGTATCAAAATGATTTTAGTTCCAATTGCATTAAAAAGGACGATATCTGGACTAAAATTGCCTGTGGTATGAAATGCGAAGGCTATAATTTTGTTGCAGCACAATGTAAAGAAAAAATGAAATACATGAAGAAAAAGTATTTTAAAAAAATAGATAATATGGGTCCTAAAAGTACTGGTGCAGCACCAGTAAAATGTGATAACTTTGAGGAACTCGATGAATTGTTTGGAAATAAACCCAATGTTATTCCTGTTGCAATAGCAAGTTCATCGAATGACAATATTAAGTTTGAAGGTATGATAAATATTATTATTTTATATAAATGTATTTGGTTAAGAATTTGTTTACATTTATTATAAGTTACATTATTATTTTACAGTTACACAGAAAGATCTTGATGATGCGAAAGATAATAAAAAAAAACAACGAAAGAGAGCGAGTACAATAACTCTCAGTGATTTACAAGTTATACTTGAAGATAAAGAAAACGCAAAGAAGGCCAGGCACGAAGAAAAACAAGAACTTCTTCGACAAAGTATAAGTTCTTATGAACGCATGATGGAAAAATTAATGGAAAAGCTATAAAGCTGTGATAAGATTATTTAATATTGTTCCGTCCGGCTCTGCAATACATTTTATATAATGATAAGTATATCAGTATTAATTTAAATTATAAGAAGATTTGCATCCAAGAAAAATGAGATTGAATAGTTAATGATTAAAAAATTGTTTGAATTAATACGTTTTTCTTTTAGCGACACAAGTTGACACAAGCTGACACAAGTATCATTCTATCTTTTATTAAAGCCTGAATGTTTAAAAAAGACAGAATGATGATTGTGTCAACTTGTGTCGCTAAAAGGAAAGCACCCTTAATAAATTATTTTTCTTGAATGCGAAAAAAAAATTGATTTTCAATTTCTTTAAATCTGTGCCAAAGACGTGGTTACTGTATTAACTCTAAAAAATATCGCCTCAAAGTATCTAAATGAAAAAGTTTATTTTAAATTGATATTATTATATAGTATATTATTTTAAAAGTATATTTTTTATTTTAACTGTATTAGGGCGATCCTATTTTTGAATATCCTATTTATGTTATATTATAAAATATAGTTATAAAATATATTATAGAATATATGTTATATTACAGAATATAGCACTGAGAACATATTACATTTGTCGACGATTTTGATTTAATGCTTTGCATAGTGCATCGCGACGTTCATTTCCAAGTCGTTTTTCATTTTCATTTTCATATATAATTTGTTCCTGTGGTTTTTCCATTATTGCCTCCATACCTTCTTGTACATATTCGCATATCAAATCATCGCTAAAATCTAGACATATATTATGCAAAACACAGCATGCAAGTATCGTTTTGGGTATTAAATCGACTCTGTTCATGTCCAAATATTTTAAGCGTCTAAATCGACCAAATAAAAGAGCAAATGCTCTTTCAATTGTTTGTCTTGTCTGTGAAACTCGTGTATTAAAAATTCCCTGCTGTCTTGTCAAATTTCCTCGATTTATATATGGAGTAATACACCACTTTAAAGTAGGATAAGCTTTATCGGCTAAAATAAATTCATCATTTGGAAAATACTTTTCTGGATTTTGACGTATCAAATTATAAATGTCAGAATTTCTAAAAATCCTAGCATCGTGTACTGAACTAGGATATCCTGAATAACTATCTATGAATTTTAAATTAGCATCGCAAATTGCTTGCAGCGTTATGGCGTACTGCATTTTACGATTTCGATATGTTTCTGGATCCTTTGATGGTGCTTTAATTGGTACATATGTCCCATCGAGAGCACCTATAACACCATCAATTCCAGCCATAGCTTTAAATTTTTCTTTTACCAATGGAAGTTCCTGTTCTGTTGGCCAATGAATCACTTGAGGTGCTAAATCATTTAAAGCTGTCGTAATTCGAACAAAGCAGGAAAATAATGTAGATTTGCTTAAATCAAATCTTTCTCCAACTGATCTGTTGTTACATAAAAGAACATCATTTTTAAATTAAATTTAGACATAATAAATATATATTTAATGATAGTTTAAAAATAAATATACAATTGATTTTGGTATTGTCTGAATTTTTAGAGTAAAATTTTCTTTTCATCATAATGTTATTTACTTTTAGATTACAGAAAGAGCAAACATTTACATACTTCTAATAAAAATCAGCGTTACATATATATAAAAATGTCAGGATACCTATAAGAATCTGGCGTCGCTAATAGCCATATTGTTGCTAATAACTGTTTTTCAACTGGGACCATTGGTCTCCCAGTTCCAGTAGTATTAGTATTTTCTATTTGTGGACCAACAATAATAAGTAAACTTTGGAAAGTTTCACGTGTTATTCTAAAATTTGACTGAAATTGTTTGTCAGTGAAATGATGAATGGTTTCTTCCACATATCTTTCAATGCGTTTAGCCTTGTTTCTCTTTTTTTTTGAGCAAATAAGTGTCAATAAAATTTCAGTTTCACTATCAGATAATGATGAATCGGAATCAAATTCGTAATTGGACAAAAGTTTTTTTCCTATTGATATTGCCGTGCCAATAATTGCTTTTTCTCTGTCACTACTCATGCTTTCTTTCGTGTATAATATAGTTTGCTAAAAAAAAATTAAAATATTTTATTTTATATTTTCAAAAATACTTATTTATTTAAAATATGCAATATTTATAGTGAATAGTTCGAATATTGAATAATGAATGGTAAATATATAGTAATATTAGAAGTCGATAAGATTATTAATACTAATTGTTAATTTGTATGATTTTTTCATTTATTTTTAAATATTATATATTACTTCTTTAACGCAAATTAATTTCAATTTTATTGGTTTAACTTACTTTTTATCTTATTCTAATTCTACAAATTAAAAAAATTAAAAGTAAATTAAACTAAGATTAAATTTCATCTACATTAGAATTCTATAAATAAACATAGTGATGAAGATAATTATTCAAAATAATATGATGATAATTATATTTGTCAAATTTATATTACGCGATCGTTTTACCTCAAGATCGTTCATAAACTTTAGGTAGTCCTTGAAGATTGATGTGTCCCTACACGTTCACTGACTAGTCCCCGTCAAGTTAACCTATACCTCAGCGGGTAAGGTTTACGAACGCACCCCTAGTAGTCTCGTAACGTTTATGGCTCCTGTGTCCTAACTTGACCCGATCTAATCCTTATCCTAACCTGATCCAACTCGATCTAACCTAGACAAGTTGGTCGGCCTCGGCTATCCGCAGAATCCGCATCCGCTGCTGCCATTAATCGTAGTCTCTCGCAAAGTCCGAAGCTAAAGCGATAGAGCGATGACGGACGCGGCGGACTTACCGGGCGCTATCACCGGTCAGGGTCAGAGGACGGTGTCGAGGCTGCTGCGGCAGCGGGCCCAGGAGTTCCTCGCCTCGCGGAAACACGCCAACAACCTGCTAGATATAATCGGTCATTGGGACGTAAGTGCGTTCGAGCCGAGTCGGACTTGCATTTTCGGTACCTGTTCGCGATTAGATGTCGCTCAACAATTTCGTCTTTCTTTATCCGTAGGAGTCCACGTGTTTATGCCTGCTTACGATAGAAACGGTGTTCGTTGAGGTACTGAAACGTGGGGACATGTACCACGAACGTTCGATAACTCTTACTATTTCGGGTGAGTCTGAAAAAAAATAACCAACTATTAGATGAGGTTTTTTTATATCAGTCCTAAGATGAGTAAAGAGTGTAGAAATATAGGAGTTTGGATAAGAGTGTGATTGCCTTGATTATGTATTAAATACACTTATAAGATCTAAAAAATGTTTCTATATTTTGAAATTTATATTCTAATGTACTTTATGTGAAACAGAACCTAGTGCCGAATCTCGCTATATAACTTGGCTCAGAAATTGCTATGAGGAAGTTTGGAAAAAGATACTAGCATCTATGGAAAAGTGTCGGTCAACCACTCAATTGCAAACCCTTACCACTGCAATAAAATTGCTGGCAGAAGAGGGTAAAGCGCCATTAGAGCCACGTGACCAAACAGGTTATTATTTTCCTTTGCATCGTTTGAAGCCTATTCTCATGACGCTGCTTTCACCTGAAAAGGACAATACAAATTTAATATCGAGATTTCAAGAGATCATCGAATACCCCGATGCTTTGTATTATACGTGGAAATGTCTACCCTCTCTCACCCCAAAGAGGCAACCGCAAGAAACGTATATTAAGAACTTATTAGAACTTATAGATAAAATACCACTGCCAAAAGGAGAAGAAGGTATAACTCTATTTTTGAGATTTATATTATACATTGTTCATGTAAACATTTATATATTTGTGTTATATTTTAATAGAATTCCTTAATTCTTTTTATCCTTAAATTCTTTATCTATTTATTTATTTGCTATCTACACATTTGTATAAATATATTTTAGTAGAAAATATATTTAAATATTTCAGAATCTAAAGTATCGGACAATAAAGAGCTCCTTTGTGGACCACAAGGTACGAAAATATTCTATATTATCGCTTTTTATAACATTTTTCACATTATTAATGTCTGTGTATGGTTGTCTTAAATTTTTTTATCAGATGCTACATTCACATGGGATCAATCGGCCGTTAAGCGTGCGTTAAATAAAGTTTGGGGCTGCGTTATGCATTGGGAACTTACGCCGCAATTACATAAACAGTTGTTACTGGTTTTGCTGGAACGAGTCATGCCGCATTTAGAAAAACCGATATTATTGACAGACTTCCTAATGGACTCCCTAGATATTGACGGTCCTGTCGGCGTGCTAGCCTTGCAAGGTGTATTTGTACTGGTCACCAAACACAATCTAGAATATCCAAATATTTTCACCAAGCTGTATTCAATGTTTGAACCAGAGATTTTTCATACCAAATATAAGGCTCGTCTGTTTTATTTGTCTGATTTGTTTCTCAGCTCGACGTAAGTATCCTTTTGATTTAAAATTCAAGTTGCATTCTATTTTTTAAAACTATAGAGAAAACAAAGAATCTTTCAAATGTTCTGTAAAATTATTTAAAATCTTGAACCATTTCTATTCTTGCAGACATTTACCGGAAGCATTGGTAGCGGCATTTGCGAAACGACTCGCACGTCTAACGTTGGTCGCACCTCCGGAGGATATCCTAATAATTCTCCTTTTTGTGGGTAATCTTTTACTCCGACATCCGGGATTAAAGAGGCTGATTGATCATCCGCAGGGCAGCGAAGTCGCCTCTGGTGCAGGTGATCCGTTCCTCATGGAGGAACGCGACCCGTTATCGAGTAACGCGTTGCTTAGTAGTCTCTGGGAAATCCGAGCGTTGCAATGGCACATCCTTCCCAGCATCGCCAGTGCAGCGCGTTTTATTCGCGAGCCGCTGCCTTCTGTTGAATACGATATGGCTTCTGCGTTGGAGCGCACCGGTGGCCATCTCTTTGATCGCGAATTGAAAAATAAGGTCAGGGACATCATGTTAACGTTTGAAAGGCCAAACTCTATGGCGCTGCCAAAGGGGGAGAAGCTGCTGCAATATTGGCAACTCACGAGTACGCATTGATTTCTTTCCTCTGTATACAACGTGATCGCCAAGGTGCAATATACGTGAATGGGAAGGCGTACTATTGTCGATCATCATTGAGAACGACTATCCTCGCGGTTCAGATGAAAAATAGACATTTTGCGTTTTATACGACGTATTTATGATGAGCGAAAGAGACGACAGGGTGTCTTTTTCTGCGCTGTTGAACATCCATGCTTAAAATAACGAGTTTGTGCGTAAATCATTCAATTCGCACAAATGAAAAAAAAACTGCTTTACGTTATTTGTTCTACATTCATCTTGTATGTAAACCAATAATTTATATATTTTTTGCGTAAACGATGAGATTCGTATCATTCAACTTTTTCGCTGTGTTCCTTGTATAATTTTAATAAAAATTACCGCTATCTTGTTATACGTTAAATTTCTTTGTCAAACTCGTCTATAGATAGATTAGAACGTCAACATATCATAGAGACACGTATCTCATTGGCTTTTATGTCTTACATATATAATTATGCAAGAAAGGAAGGAAATGTAAATATTGACTAGACGAACATCAGCGATAAATTAATCTTGATACACAATTGAGATCAATATTTAAATATAAAAATTCAAATAAGAAATAATTTTAAAAGAGGTGCAGCAAATTTTTCTTAAAATCTCCCTTAATTAACTTAAATGGTTAGGTCATTTTTTGCTATTTTCAACAAACATGTGATAAATAAATTACAGAAAAAATGCATGCACCTTCATCCTTAGTCTTGTCTTACATTTTATAAGTCTTGTATCAGTTCCAGCCGTTAGAAAAAAATGACGAGAATAGTCCCACATGTTGTGCATTGACAATCGCAAAAGTTAAAGAAAATAATAATTTTAGATATAAAAAAAATTGAGCATATAAAATGTTAAAGAGGAAATTCACGAAGCGATCGAAAATAAGATAAAGAACAAAGAGTTTTAGTGATAAATAAAATGTCTCATTATTGTTTTCTTTGTCATAATATGCAAAACAGTAATGACAATTTGAAAGATTCAGGTTAATTAAAGAAGATTTTAAGAAAAGAAAGTTTTCTGTCTGCGCCTAGTTTTTATTAGCCCATTTTCTCCTGAATTTTTTTATTTACATAACAAAGTCTTTTTTTGTAATTTGACACAACGGTAAATAATTTACAAAAAAGATTGCACAATTTTGTGTTCCTTTTTATTTTTTAATTTAAAAAATGAAAAAATAAACATCAAATGTAACGTGGCGTAATAGTCTACGTATAAATGTAAAACGTGTCATGTGTTTCATTACGAAATTTGGTTTATTTTATTTTATTTATAACGTGAAGCACCTAAAAAATATAAAGATAATACTAATCAATTATTTTACGCGACAATTATTTATCGATAATGAAAAGTGAATTCCTATTTACGTCGAATATTTTTTAATCTGAATTAGAAAGAGAATAAAATTGAAGCTGAAGTAAATTAATCCGTTGTGTGTTTATCCTATGTCATAAAGAATTTATGACATAGATATATAGTTGTAACTTTATATATTTATTTTATTATACGTAGAGTTATATTAATTCTTGAAAATAAATTAAAACTCTTGGGCGGCAGAGAATAAAAGAGTTGAACACAAGTTGAATTTATCGTTCCTTCTATATTGCGAAAGCAATAAAGTAACATAATGAAACCGTAAATGGTTCAATCCGTATTTCATAATTTGCAGAATTTACAAAATTTACGAATATGAAACTATTAATTACATTGAGTCTTCGCAAGTAGCAAATACTAATTTGTATGTGTGTGCAAAGTATGAAATGAAAGAATATTTTTAATTTAACAAAAAAGAAATCAAAACTTGTTCACAATATGTTTTCGATATTTTATATAAAATTTCATATTCATGATGCATAGACAAATGTAATATTTGGATTCAATTTTATTTATAATCTATATATTCTTTCTGTTACATTTCTCTTCCCTCCCCCTCGCTTTCTATATACATATATGCTGGTGAATCCCCCTCTCCCTCCAACTTCCCTTTATATTCCAAATTAGAAGAAACAATTGTCATTCGATTTGCTAAAATATTTTTACTATATACACATACATACATATGTACATCAGTAAATTGATAAGTTATTATTTTAATAATATCAAGTATAATGTCGCTTTGTGTCTAATACCTGAAAAAAAAGATTAATTTTTGTTTAATTGGATTGTCTATTTAATTAAGAATTAAGTACTAAAATTGTAATCATTTACACAAGTGCACAATCATTTAGATAATGTACATAATTTATAAAAGTGAAATAGTAAAAAATGTAACATACAAATTATACAATACAATAATCTTCAGTGCAGCATAATGCAACATTTTACTACAGTGAATAAATTTTTCTTAATAATAATTTTCATATAAAATTAATGTTTATAATTCATCGAAACTCTTTTTCTATCGGAATTATATAAAAGTAAAATTATGAAGATGTTTTAATACTATTATTTCATGTCAAATTGATAATGAAGTGATGATTGGGATTGCTACTGATATTGAAAAGACTACATATTTTTTTTAACGATATCTTTCATACTTTGCACATCTCTTGTGCTTCTTATAACAATAAGAAATATTTCTATTTATCTTCAGAATAAAGATACACTCACCTGGACCAATTGTCTCCACTCTTCTTCGTTCAAAGCTTGTTTTATTTTCACGAGGACGTTTGCTGGAATGTCGGCAGGCATCATGTTCGACGTGATATTTTGCGTAGTGGGCACATATTGCACCTGCAACAATTGCGACGCTGTTGGTCTCGCTTTCGGGTCGTGCTGAAGACACTTGCGCATCACGTCGATCAAAACGGGCGGCGTGCGCTCGTAATCTTGAAGACTTTTGTCGCTCGTCGAAGAAGAGAACGTCGTGGCCGGGAACGAGATATTTGGTTTCGGATTAGTTATGGCGTTTACCTTTGCCCATTGGGAACGTATGTGTTGGAAAGGTGTGTGACCATACACTAGGCTGTACAGGATGCACCCCAACGACCATACATCCGACTTGAAACTGATCTGTTGAGAAAACGTAATTTCTTATCCCCAATCGCAACTTGTAGATTTTTAATTTAATTTAAACTATGAATAATAAGCTATCAATTTTTTAATCCAATTATTCAAATCAAGCAGATTCGGATTTAATTAATAAGTGACTAATATATATATTTTTTTTAGATTTCCTTAAATATAATAAGATATTTTTATTTTGAATTATTTTTCTTCTTATCTCACCTTATATTTAACATTGTGTGTAGGCGAATCCGCGTTACCGCCGATGTCCATCAGGGCCTCTGGACTAATATAATTCAATGTTCCAATTGTATTACTTTTCAAAACAGATGTCATGTCTGAATTTAAACTGGAGGCGATGCCGAAGTCTATCAATTTGAGCCGGCCTCGTACAAGTAAAAAATTCCCCGGCTTTAAATCCGAATGTATGACTCCTAAAAAAGGATAGAAGCCACATATACATACATACATACTCACGAGAACGAGATATGATCGCTTATATTTAATCGATTAAATTTATATCTATATATATTCACCATTATCATGTATGTGTTTTACAGCAGTAAGCATTTCGGTCCAATAATACAGAATCATTGTGAGAGAAATTTGCTTTTCCTGGGACATGGACTTGAGAAGTTTACTGAGATCGGTGTCACCCATTTCCATCACGACATAAACCATAGAGTCTCTGATTTCACTGAAATCGAATTAACAAACATTGTTAAAAGACGTTAACATTTGATTAATATTAGTATCCATTAAATTCTTCTGAGAAATGTGTTCTCACATAAGTGAAGGTAAATATGCTATGTTCATTAAATTAAATTATATCTAATATTTTGTACATCTACAATATGTACTCACTAATCGAACATTCGAACGACGCAGGGCGCCTGTAATTTTTGCAACATAGATATCTCGTCCAAGCAGCCTTGGGCCGACTCTTTGTCCATCTTGCTCAAGTTCACGCATTTGATTGCGCGTAACTCGCCGAAGGATACATCCTGCACTCGCAGAACCTCGCCGCTCATTCCACGACCAAGAGAGCCCAGAATCAGATATTCTCTATTCTTCACATGTAACGTTTTGCTTTGTCGTTGGGGTGGAATGCTCAACGGTACAGTAAACTGCATGCTCGCCATTCTATTTACGATCTGTTGTTGTTCTTCTTCGCGTTTCTTTTCGGAAGCCGAATAACACTCGTGCGAGTTTTTGCATTCCGAAACGATTCCGTAATCTTCTTCGCTATATTTTTTCAGGATTTGCAAGGAATCCTTTTTTAGGCTCGTATCAGATCCGATTATCACATTTCGTTTGATTTCGTTTTTACTCGGCACAATTTTTGTGTTACTTGCTAGCAACATGTCGGGCATATTGGTCAACTGTTTGTTCTCCTTTGTTTCCTCGGTAAACTTCACAAATTTCGGATCTGAATGCAATGACAACTTAACGTGACAAGAAAATAAAACATTTAATAATTTAATTATATTTCATTTTAAGTACACTTTTAATGCGCTTACCTTTATGGTAATTCAGTTCTGTCCGCATTACCAATTTTGCATCAGGTACAACAATCGGCCTCTTGCTTCTGTCTTCCTGTGGTAACGCAACAGTCTTGGTTTCACGTAACGCAACGGGTTTCGACTCCAAAGGATGAGCTGTAGAAGAATCGCCATATGTTAATGTAGCGTCCACTAAAGGTCGTCTCACGTTCGTGACATTCAATCTGAAGAAAAGAGAAATCAATTACCATCGGTACTCTGCATTTAAATCTAAGCGAAAGAATCATGAATTCATCAAAATTAGAATTCCAAATTAATTGACGAAAGATTAATTTTTTTATTACATTTATTTTGGTATATGAATTAGATATGCTTTTTATCGGGAACAAACAAATATTAAGTTAAATATGGTTTCTTTCGAAACGCATGGTTGTAAAAATGATTCTACAAACCTCGCCAAGTCCGAATTCTCTACGACAGGCGTACAGATCGTATTTCTAGATATTTGCATGTGATCTTTTGCAACGAGATTCTTTCCCTCCAATGGTGTATGTCTTGTATTATTGTAGCACCAACTGGACAATATCGTGGAAGGCGTCTGAATGCAATTTTTGCTTGAATTGTCGGACAATTTATTCTGCGGAGTTCGAAATAGCTGTTTATGAGATGCGCATGGATTCGGATGCATTGAACCGACTTGCGAATGTTTCAATGGAGTCTCCAAAACCAAACGATTAATCGGAGTAGGTAACGATGTTCCCTGAATTTCATTCAACGATGGTGTACTTGATTTCACATGTGTGCACAGTGCAGGGTTTTTCGCCGGTGTACACTTTTCGTTCGCTTCGTGCTTGGATATGCTGTATTGCAAGTTGTTATATATTACAGGATTTAACAAGTTCCCAGACAAGTTTTGAGGTATACAGTCAGCAGATTCTGATACAACAATTGGGATCTTGCGAAGCTCTTTGTCACAATTCTTATTCGCATGTTGGTTGTTAAAATCATATAGCATTTTTTTGTACCGCTGGTCCTCCTTACTTAAATTCAAATGCTCGTTATTCCTGTGCAGCAGTTTATTATCAATCAATGTGTTATAAGAGTGTTCCTCCTTTTTCTTATTCGACATATCAGATATGTAAACATTTTCGTGATGCGACTGAGCACTATTCATTATCAATTGCAGATTCTTACTTTTATCAGATTTTGCACTGTAATGGGGATTTTCTTTGTAAGATGGTGGAAGAAGTAAACTCAGTTCTGTTGACAAGTTCTGAGTAATGCTAGATTGGCTCCTTGAGGAAGTTAACGTACAGTTATGAGAATCCTGTGATTTTTCCTCCTGTTTCGAGTCATATGTTCTTAATTTATTTGAATTATCACCTAGTAGATGACTTTCAGAATTTACATCATTTTTGCATTTTGTGTTACTGTTAGCACAGCTTATTTCTTGTACAGGTGAAATATCAGTCACAGATGCACTAATATCTTTTGATAATATAGTTTTCAAGGGTTTGTCTAGAGTTGAGCCAATCATAGAATTAATGTCTGCTGCTTCATGTATACACGAATCCGGCAGTACATCCTCAGCAGAATTACCTGACTCATCCAAATCTGATAAATCTTCAGATTCATGGGGTTTCTCTTCGCTTTCGTCATCATCATCATCATCGTCGCTCTCACACAAATGCAAGAGGCGTACTGGCTGAGATTTTGGTAATGTAGTATTCTGTGATGGCACTTTGTCAGCGTTTGTGCTACCAAAACTGTGATTATTGTTTGCCATAAGATTTGACATTATCGACAGTTTTCAGAGAACAAATATTACTGATCTGAAAATAAAAAAAATATTTTGTTTTAATCGTATCCAAAATATGAATATTCTATTAGCTGTAGCTATTCTAAAAACACAAATATAAAAAAAAAAAAGAAGTTACAACAATCAGTACATAATCTTCCAATTATTAATTTATCTGTAGATTATAAAGACACGATTGTTCCAATCTTTACATAAATATAACACAAATTATACACACTACACATATATATAAATTAATATTACTCCTATTTTCTGCATGATGCTATTAAAATGCTTATTTTTCAAATCTATATAAAAATCTTTCATTAATGGTTTGTACATTATATTTTTTTCAAAATACATATATATTATTAAATTGATAAAATAAATAAGATAGTAAATAATAAAAGCAGATATATAAAGAAACGTTAATTTTTTGTTACTATCCTCTATCCTTACTCGTAAACTTTCAAAGCAAGTAATTATCTGAAGAAGCCTTTGATCGTTTCGAATTTTCTCCAAGTTGTGTCCAAAATTTATTGACATAATCGACGTCAGATTTCCTAATTTAGCGATAAAACCACAAGGATGCTTTCATCGTAGGTACTCAAAATATTCCCGAGTATACAAATATACACACACCTGTCAAATTAAACAGCCTGGCTGTAGGCTGCAGATCGGTTTGACAAGAAGAATCGTCAATAGAATGTATGCTATGCACGCATATATTACGAGACCCTTACGCGAAGATTAAAAATTTATATTTGTGTACAACAGTTACTTGTCCTTATATGACATAACACTCCGTATATCTATGCATAGATGTATCACATTACTTTCAAAACTTATAAACATAACTTGACATGAAAACTTCAGCTAGCTCTACCGGTTTTCATCTTACATCATGGCATTTGAATTTGCAAAGATCACGCTCATTGGTCGGAGCAATTTCATGAAGCGGATAGCGCAACGCAGAACGAATGTAATTTAGACCGGATCCACAATAGGTGATTTAAGCTTTAAGCCCCTTGCACAATGCCAGACGACAGGCAATAGGAATAAGAAATAAAAAATATCAACCAATCGGAAAGAAGATAGATATTATTCTCTGCTCCTATTGGGAGATATTTTATAATTCTTATTCCTATTGCCTATTTCCTGGCATTGTGCAAGAGGCTTCATAGTTTCAATATATTTTGATGTTAAAATTTTTGTTTCGAAATAATTTCAAGAATCTCTCTCTCTGCCATTATATAGTAGATAATGAGCTAACTCTAAACTCTAGAACATTTTTTTATAATTGATGATTATATGGATTTGTAAAGTATAATGCATGTAAATTAATAATATTAATTTTAAAAATAGAAATAAAATGCAATTATATTAAATGTATACAGCAATACAAGATAATTAATTTACATTTAAAAAACAAATCTTCTTAATTGAAATTCAATTATGGATATCAAAAACACAATACGTGTAAATAAGTCGTACTTTAATTTGAAGTGAAAATACAACAGTTTTCCTAGTACGAATCAATCAATTTGGATACAAACTCCATTTGACTCAAAACTTTACTTTGCGAACAATTATAACGAGATACAAGAAAATGTTACTAGCAGCTTTGTTGCTCTACGTTAAAAATTGTACACAAATTTTTATTTTATAATCGCATAAAATTTTCGTCCCATTAATGCTAAATATCAATAAGGACATTTTGAAAACTGTGATAGAAACTAAGATAATCGTCTTTTTTGTTTTTCGCAAAACGCTGTACGATTCGTCGAACAATAATTTCGTTGAAATTATTGTGTTCTGAGTTCAATAATTTTTTAGCATCCAAGTAAATAATATATATATATATTATCTATATGAAATTTCATACATCAATAAATTGTTTCTGTCACAATTTGTTGCACAAATTTACTCGGCGATTAAATTAAATTAACTTAATAGCTATATTTTCATTTATACATTACTTCTCGTTTCGAAAAGAACCAATGTGAAACCCGGTATTTTCTCTCTACTCTCTTCTCTTTTTTTAGGAAGTCTGTTCCTGCACATTTTTAGGAACTACTTGGCAGCAAATATGGTGATGCAAACTCTTGTACAAAACGGATGTTTCTACTTTATAATCATTTAGTTCTTTATTTACGATCTAACGCAATTAATTATTCTATACGTTCTTCTTATTCTTTTCTCTTTATCCTTTAATGTGAAGAATGTTCAAAATTTCTATACAAAAACATATTGGTTCTTTACATAAACGATTGTGAAAACAATAATGTTGCTACAATTTAAATTATATGATAATGATACACAACAAATCTAAATTTTTTCTTTCTCTATTTTTCTTCCTGTCTCTCTCTCTTCACATGATCGTAAGAAACGTACTCGTAAGAAAACATAAGAGCGACGAGACAATGTGTCGATTGAAAAGAACGGTTTCGTAAAAAAATGTCCTTTTTGCGTAGAAACATATTGCATGGGAGAAACAGAGATATAAAAAATATTTTATTTGAATCTTCAGGACGAAATTAAAAATTGTGAGTAATGAAAAAAAAAGTATTCTAGGCTATTCCAAAATGACCTTAACGTTTTCCATTATTGTAGTTAAGAGCCCGTAATGGTGCTTTGAACGTGGACGCAGACTGTTGCTGGATCTGATATGCTAGAGGATGAATTTTAAAGCCGTATAATCTGAAAAATAAAATTTATCTTTTAACTTTCGGATTTCGTATAGCTCTACACATATAAAAAATGACTCGGAAATTGTCTATTAGAAACTTTTCGATTATCTGAGGATGTGGCAATGCCACAATTAATAAATGTTTAACATGAATGAGTAAACTTTAACTTGACTGAGTCACTAATTTAAAATGTATAGTAACATATATAATAAAACTTGATTTTATCTCATTATTAAATATCATTTAATCTTCTCAGATATTCATATTAAAATCTATCTCTAATAATATTACACATATGTAATTTATAGAAGTAAATACAAGAATAAAGATCAATGCTGTTAAATTCATATTTGTTTTATATGTATACAATGACAATGTTACTATATTATGAGAGAATCATTAGAAAATGTGTTGAAAAAACTGATATAATTTTGATTACTGTAGACTCTAATAGAATGAATACAAAATGTTAAAATTTTGACAAAGTGCATATATAATTATATACAAAAATTGTGTTTTAGTAAGATTTCTTCAGTGGAATTAATTTATCCATCTTAAAACAATTTCTTCTATTTCTATTTTTTCCAAAATTTTATCATAAAAAAGAAAAAAAATAATAAAATAACAAATGTACTTTAAAATTTTTATAGCTAGATATTTTGAGTTTTTACCATATGATTATTTTATTGCTTAAATAGCCATTGCTTAAGCAGCCATAGAATAATGTTTATTTACCTAGGTACAAATTGATTTGCTGCACGTTTCGGTCTATATTCGGGATGAACCATAAACAGCATGTGTGGAAATCCTGTTCCAAAGTAAGCTCCATCGGTATGATGATGTCTCGAACTCTTGGGCGTGTAAACATCCATGCATTTGGGACAATAGCTTTTGACCATTGCCTCGCCAGGAACATCGCTAAGGCCTAACGGCAACATTGGTTGGGATTCACAGTAAACTCGCGGGCAATGACCGAAATCACCCGCTTGATATTTTTCAATCATCTGAGCGATGCCACGATTGGTAAGTATGTAGCGAGCGTGAATAAGACCATAGAGCATCTCTGCTGCTTGCTCGACCAAATCTGATTGATTCGGGTTATCATCCAAATCATCATCTGATCAAATAAACATCAAATACAAGAGTATTACAAATAAGTTATATTTAAAAATTTTTTAATTTATTTATCTTTATATTTCAGTTTATTTACTTAATAATTCAAGAATGAGTAATTTTATTTGATACTATCTCGAAACAACTTACCAGGTTCAAGATCGAGAATCATATCCAATGCTTGACGATAATGTGGTACTTGTTCATTCAGTCCCGTTAAATTAAATTTGTCCTGAATATAATCTTCATCCACCTGAATATATGACAAATAGGATAAATAACATCTATAGTTTCAAATTATTCAAGAGAGAGATATCATTTAAATGTCTGTTGCATATAAACTCAAAAATATATCAATAATAAAGTGTATTTAAAAATATCAAATATAAATTTGTATAAGTTGCTTAATCATAATTTAAAGAAAAATAAAAATCAAATTGTATATTTTAAAAAGCACTATGCTATAAATCATTTATTTATTAAATGGCTCACAAAATATGTATATCTCAAATATAATATAGATCGTATAAACAGAATTTATACTTTCATGCATAATTTTAATTCCACTCCAAGTGTTTGCTGCTTTATCATTCTTATCCAATTGGAAACCAAATCTAAACGAGTGCTAATGTGAAAAAAAATTGATTTTTAATTCTACCACAGATGAGTGTAGTAAGAGTAAGTTGGAATAAGGTAAATATTTGGTTTATGGAATATTAAAATATATGCATGATAAAAGATGTAACAACATACAATACAGGAGTGTTTCCCCCGCAAGTACTCACCTCGCAAAAGAACTCATTCCCGCGCAAACCGCAAAACCACGAAATCCAGGACACTTCCTCGGAACTGCTCATTTTCCTGCGGCAAAAGAAACTCGTGAAGATGGTCCCGTTATTAAGTATTTGCGCGGAACAGCTAGGTATCAACGAAAATAGGCGACAAAGAACCGCTCCTTGCTCGTCCCCGTAACCGATTCCGTTTGTCGCGACTCGATGCGTACCTGGTGCACGGCGTAACGACCGTAAACGACCGCGTTCTCGTTGTCGTGTCGTTGACGGCTATCAACGCGCGCGTTGTCAGTTGGTTAGAGCGGCGTGAACGTGATCGCGGGCTCGGGCTCGACGGAGCGAAGGAGGAACAAACGGCTACGCGAGGTGCGGAAGCAGCGAAGCTTGATTCTCGGCTCTTGGCTTTACCAAGCAAGATGCCCGACAAGTCACGGACTCGTCCGGCGCGTTCGCACCCATGTTTCCACGACAATTGCTGCTAGGTCATCATTTTTCGAATACGGTGTGTGGGATATGAGACACGACGAAAAAAACCGCATTACTCTTGCAAATGTGCCGACGTGGAGCTACGCCTACCTGACGAAAAATCAAAAATAAACAGACCTCGCGGCTTACCTCTTGGTGCTTTGATTAGCCACGCTTGCTCAACCGAACGGAATATAGTTGGCGCTGCGCGCATATCGCTTATCCCCGCCATCTTCTGACATATTTAACGGATGTTCAAGCTCTATCTGCAAACATCATAGGGTCATTCCACAATAGGTTGCAAATGCTCCGGTAGACCAATCGAAACAAAGTAACTTGTCAGCTGAGTTGCTTATTGGTTAATCTGCAAATGTCAACTGGCAACTTATTGTAGAATAACCCTAAGTAGTAATCAAACGTGATTGGTTACTACTTTCGGATCCAACCAATTAGCATCGAATGACATTGGAAAAATATTGTTGAATTTGCGCGCGCGCGCGCGTTGAATGCGACTAATGTGATTAACGATAATAATAAAATAATAAATATAATAATAAAATAATAAATATAATAATAAAATAATAAATATAATAATAAAATAATAAATATAATAATAATAATAATAATAATAATGAGAAAAAATATACAAAAAATAAAAGAAATAGAAACGAAAAAAAATCTCCCCGACGGGGAATCGAACCCCGGTCTCCCGCGTGACAGGCGGGGATACTAACCACTATACTATCGAGGAATTCTTGAATAGGGGTGAATTATAATATTATATCAGCTTAGTAATAAATTTCTTGTATAATTTTTAATTTGTAAATAAATTTAATATAAAATATACATCTTAAATTGTATATATAATTATATAATTGCACTTTTGATTAAAAATATTGTAACGTTTATTCCTATATATGTTATAATCATTTTTAAATATAATATAGCTTTGTCGATCTCTTATTTAATATAGAATAAAATATTTATTATATATATTATTTATGATAAATATAGAAAAAAATGGTGGAACACTTTTGATATTTTGAAACTATGGATTTTATAGAAAAATATTTTGATAAATATAAATTCTCGTTTCAATATATATATTTTAATCATATTTTTACAGCTATAATGTCGAGATTTTTTAAAAAATAATATAATAAATTATATTATTTATTTAAAAAACTTTCCGATTTAAAGCGTTTTTACGATATTGCAAATGCAAAAGATGTGCCACGTGGAAGCTAACATACTCTGTCATACATCTTCGTGGGTGTGTTTGTGCGTGTTATCACAGATTAATAGACAGATCGCCAAAGGTCTGGATGAAGGAGAGACCAGCATTTCTCACTGATTTCAGCGCCATATCGTAGTAGTGGTCAATGCAGTAACTATTAATACGTTCCCAAGATAAGAGCGTCTCATGCTCATGAACTCGTCCGGCGGCATGTACGAGATTTATCTTTTCGTAGCGTTCGCGTATTTCGGAAAGGACAGAATTTTATGATGTTATAAATAAATAAATAAATAAAATATTAACCTGACCTATTATAATTATTTTTTAATAAATGTTTCATTATTATTATCATCTAAGTCTAAGTCGTTTAATTAATTTTTAGTTTTTTAATAATTAATTTAATTTATTCTAATTATTTTAATATGTGAAAAATACTAATACGTATACGTTTTATAATGAATTAATATATTTCGAGAGTCGAATTATATATTTTTAATAATATAAAAGTGTTCAAAAATTATATTTGACTTTTAATTTTAATTATTTTAGCAAAGAGTTCCGAAATCTCTTACACACATAATAGGGATTTTGTTCATCCATATAATTCGCAATTAAGTATATATGTTAATTATTAATTTTAATAAAATACAAAATTAAAATTAAAGGTCAAATATAATTTTTGAACATAAATATATTTAATTCGTTATAAAACGTATACCCGTGATAGTATTTTTCTCGTACAAAAATAACTAGAACAAATTAAATTACTCATAAAAAAATTAAAAATAATTAAATAATTTATATTATATATGATAATAATAAAACATTTTATAAAAAAAACAGATTCAATAAATATAAGTATTGAAAATCTCTCCTCCAATTTTAAAGTCGACCAGACTGGCAATAATTTATTTAAAAAATTAGTTAAATTACAACGTTTCGGCTGTCATTGCAGCCCTTTTCAAGTAATCAGATTAATACAATAAATCAAATTTACAGCAAACCCCCGACAAAATTAACCATTGTTTTGATGAACAATGTATAACTGACAGAAGTGAGCACGAAAAAAAAAAATAGATGTCGACTGTTAGCAGGAAACTTAGTCACAGTGACTAAGTTTCCTGCTAACAGTCAACATCTATTTTTTTTTTTGTGCTCACTTCTGTCAGTTATACATTGTTCATCAAAACAATGGTTAATTTTGTCGGGGGTTTGCTGTAAATTTGATTTATTGTTTTAATCTGATTACTTGAAAAGGGCTGCAATGACAGCCGAAACGTTGTAATTTAACTAATTTTTTAAATAAATTATTGCCAGTCTAGTCGACTTTAAAATTGGAGGAGAGATTTTCATTATTTATTACTGGCGACTCTTAAGGATTATCATTTAATATAAGTATATATATAACATGTACTTATATTTATTGAATCTGTTTTTTAATAAAATGTTGTATAAGCTTAGAAAACTTGACTTTGACGTAACTAGCAAATTTTATTTAATTATTTCACGACGGTTTGACGTAATAAAATGTTTTATTATTATTATATAAAATATAAGTTTAAATTCTTTAATTAATTTTTAATCTTTTATGATTAATTTAATTTACTCTAATTATTTTTGTACGAGAAAAATACTATTATGGGTATACGTTTTATAATTAATTTAATATATTTGTGTTTAAAAATTATATTTGACCTTTAATTTTTATTTTTATTTTATTAAAATTAATAATTAACATATATACTTAATTGCGAATTATATGGATGAAAAAAATCCCCATTATGTGTGTAAGAGATTTCGGAACTCTTTGCTATAAAATAATTAAAATTAAAAGTCAAATATAATTTTTGAACACTTTTATATTATTAAGAATATATAATTCGGTTCCCGAAATATATTAATTCATTATAAAACGTATACGTGATATTATTTTTCTCATATAAAAATGACTAGAATAAATTAAATTAATTATTAAAAAACTAAAAAGTAATTAAACGACTTAGACTTAGATGATAATAATAATGAAACATTTTATTAAAAAAAGATTCAATAACTAGTAGGTCAGGTTATAATTTTTTATTTATTTATTTATAACATTATGAGCTATTAAGCTCATCATCTCGTTCGCTCTCTGTCTTGCTTTCATTCGGCAAGTCACAAACGATATATGATACTCGTATGTTCCTACTTCAACTCTCGAGAATCTGAAACAAACGAAACTCGTGTCCAATATACAGGGTGTCCGGTAACTAACAGACCAATGATTACAAATGGATTCTTTGGTCAATTTGGGAACGATTTTTCCTCAGCGAAAATGTCGAAAAAGGTCATCATTTTTTACAACTTTCCAATCTTTGTCATTATGTATCTTTATAACTAAGCCTTAAATTAAAATTTTATTATAGTAAACTCTACCTGAAATTAACTGAAGAATGTAATTATGTTAGACTTTTAACTCCAAAACGTTTAGTTTTCAAAAAACCTATTTTTTTCAATCGCTTATAACTCGAAAATTATTGACTTCTCAACATTTTTGCTAAGGAAAAATCGTCTCCAAATTGGCCAGAGAATCCGCCCTTAATCATTGGTCCGTTAGTTACCGGACACCTTGTATATATTATATAAAAGTGTATAGCACGTCAGAAGCTTGTGAGCTTACAGCGATAAGTAAAAAACAATTGCGTATTTATTTCATTGCGTTTATCTGTTTAAACGCGCGCTTTAATTTTTCCAACGTTTTTGCCTGTTTATATTTTAAAGGTCCTCTCTTCTAAAAATCTTGTTTTAAAGATCCTCTCCGCGAGCAAAATTCGAAAACATAAATTATTTAATATTTTTACTTTATTATTTGTAAATCCTCGGTAATTTCAAAATTTTTCTATTTGAAAATTATTAATTTTCTATTGCCAATTAATTTTATCACAGACTTTACTCTTACTCCCATTGCACTTTCGTTTGCGGTTTTCAGTATACGATTTTTTATCGTAGTTACTGAAAATTATTATTGTGAATTATACTTGTGCAGTGATTTGAAGAATTTACAATTTCGTTGAAATTGTTGATTTTTCAAAAAAATACGAGATTCGCGGAAATTGCGTGCTTTCTTGGCATTTTCCGTTCGCGGCAGGCGGTTTATTTTTGATTGTTGCAAGTGTTTTTGTTTTTTTTTTATTAAAATAGATAATAATAATGTGAAATAAATCACGATATTTGACAGATGTGCATATATATAGAAATTGTAATAATAATAATATTATATCATAAAATTGTAAATTGTTTCAATTTTTTATAGACTGCGATAAAAGATTTTACATTTGGATAAGAAACTGCGGTAAGTAAAAATATAAATTCTTGAAAACGTAAAAATATTTGATAACGTAAAAAGGTGAACTTTGAAAAATAAGGAACTTAAAAATTGCACTAATAAATGGGCTATATGTGAGCCGTGCGCGGATGTAAGGTGTGTTATATCGAAATTTAATTAATAGAATTGAGAATTAATCCCAATTTTAAGTCTTACAAATGTCCAAGCTAATTTTTTGTACCTCGTGTACATTTTTGAAAGTTATATCGAAAAATTAAATTTCAATATGCGTCTTACATCTCACATTTCGCATACGGCTCACATATAGCCTATTTATCTCTTATACTTTATTTCAACCCTTATAGAAATTTATTACTAGTAACGCCAATTTATCACTTATTTCGAGTAATTAATCACTTTTATTTCGAATACTTAAATTACTGTATATTATAGTATTTTAAATACTCGAAATAAGTGATTAATTGGCGTAGTGATAAATTTCTACAAGAGAATAAGGAGCCTTTAAATTCTTAATGTAAAAA